CTCTTTATATAATTTGGATGTCAACCCCTTATCGGATATGTCATTTATGAATATGTTCTCCCATACTGTAGGATGCCTTTTTGTTCTACTGATGGTGTCCTTTGCTGTACAGAAGCTTTTTAGTTTGATACAGATCCATTTGTTCATTTTTGCTTTTGTTTCCCTTGCCCAGGGAGATATGTTCATGAAGAAGTTGTTCATGTTTATGTCCAAGAGATTTTTGCCTATGTTTTTTTATAAGAGTTTTATGGTTTCATGACTTACATTCAGGTCTTTGATCCATTTTGAGTTTACTTTTGTGTATGGGGTTAGACAGTGATCCAGTTTCATTCTCTTCTATGTAGCTGTCCAGTTTTGCCAACACCAGCTGTTGAAGAGGCTGTCATTTCCCCATTGTATGTCCATGGCTCCTTTATCATATATTAATTGACCATATGTGGTTGGGTTTGTATCCAGGCTCTCTAGTCTGTTCCATTGGTCTATGGGTCTATTCTTGTGCCAGTACCAAATTGTCTGAATTACTGTGACTTTGTAGTAGAGCTTGAAGTCAGGGAGTGTAATTCCCCCCACTTTATTCTTCCTTCTCAGGATTGTTTTGGCTATTTGGGGTCTTTTGTGGTTCCATATGAATTTTAGAACTATTTGCTTTAATTCGTTGAAGAATGCTGTTGGTATTTTGGTAGGGATTGCATTGAATCTGTAGATTGCTTTAGGCAGGGTGGCCATTTTGACAATATTAATTCTTCCTATCCATGAGCACGGGATGTGTTTCCATTTATTGGTATCTTCTTTAATTTCTCTCATGAGTGTCCTGTAGCTTTCAGGGTATAGGTCTTTCACTTCCTTGGGTTGGTTTAATCCTAGGTATTTTATTCTTTTTGATGCAATTGTGACTGGAATTGTTTTCCTGATTTCTCTTTCTGCTAGTTCATCATTAGTGTATAGGAATGCAACAGATTTCTGTGTATTAATTTTGTATCCCACAACTTTGCTGAATTCACATATTAGATCTAGTAGTTTTGGAGTGGATTCTTAAGGGTTTCTTATGTACAATATCATGTCATCTGCAAACAGGGATTTTTGACTTCTTCCTTTCCAATCTGGATGCCTTTTATTTCTTTGTGTTGTCTGATTGTCATGGCTTGGACCTCCAGAACTATGTTGAGTATAAGTGGGGTGAGTGGACATCCTTGTCTTGTTAATGATCTTAAAGGAAAAGCTTTCAGCTTCTCGCTGTTAAGTATAATGTTGGCTGTGGGTTTGTTATATATGGCCCTTATTGTGTTGAGGTACTTGCCCTTTATAATCATTTTGTTGAGTTTTTATCATGAATCAATGTTGAATTTTGTCAAATGCTGTTTTCAGCATCTATGGAGATGATCATGTGTTTTTTTGTCCTTTTTGTTGATGTCGTGGATGATGTTGATGGATTTTCAGATGTTGTACCATCCTTGCATCCCTGGGATGAATCCCACTTAATCATCATGGATGATCTTTTTGATGTATTTTTGAATTTGGTTTGCTAATATTTTGTTGAGTATTTTTGCATCTATGCTCATCAGAGACGTTGGCCTGTAATTTTCTTTTTTTATGGTGTCTCTGCCTGGTTTTGGTATTAGAGTGATGTTGGCCTCACAGAATGAGTTTGGGAGTATTTCCCACCTCTTCTACTTTTTGGACAACTTTAAAGAGGTTGGGTATTAGGTCTTCACTAAATGTTTGATAAAATTCTGCAGTGAACCACCTGGTCCAAAGGTTTTGTTATTAGGTAGTTTTTTGATTACCCATTCAATTTCCTTGCTGGTAATTGATCTAATCAGAGTTTCTATTTCTTCCTGGGTCAGCCTTGGAAGGTTGTATTTTTCTAGAAAATTGTCCATTTCTTCTAGGTTATCCAGTTTGTTGCCATATAATTTTTCATAGTATTCTCTCATAATTCTTTGTATTTCTCTGGTATCCGAAGTGATTTTTCCTTTTTGAGTTCTGATTCTGTATATGTGTGTAGACTCTCTTTTTTTCTTGATAAGTCTGGCTATGGGTTTATCTATTTTGTTTATTTTCTTGAAGAACCAGCTCCTGCTTTCATTGGTTCTTTCTATTGTTTTATTCTTCTCTAATCTTTATGTCTCTTCTTCTACTGATTTTGGGCCTCATTTGTTCTTCCTTTTCTAGTTTCATTAATTGTGAGTTTAAACTGTTCATTTGGGATTGTTCTTCTTTCCTGAGGAAGGCCTGTCTGGTGTAATTATTAATGGGGCTTCCTGGGCTCTGGAAATGTCCCGATTTAGACAATAAATTATATGGTCACTTTATTTTTAAGGGACACTAGTAATTTAACGTATCAGCAAGTGAGTGGCCTAATTTCCTATTGCAGATGTCCTTTGAAGTGTCCTTGAGGGAGCATTTCTCAAGATTGTTGCCTTTGTATTGTGGTTTTTACTTTTGAGGGAGGTAGAAAGATGGGGCCCACACACATAGGGAACCAAGGCTGGACTGAGGTGGGCATAAAGACCCCAAACATCTAGAGGAGATGAGGCCTCTTTGTCCCATCAACTTCCACCTCCCCATATTCCACAGTTCTGGCTTCTTATCATGGTTTCAACTTGGATGTGGAGGAACCCATCGTCTTCCAAGAGGATGGAGCTGGCTTTGGGCACAGCGTGGCCCAGTTTGGCCCTCGGTAGGTAAATAAGTAAGGCCTGTCCACACTCCCAGCCTTTATCTCCCCAGCCTGGAGGCCAAGGCTGCACATGGCACATTCACGTGTCCTGGAGGAAGGGCAGCATGGGTGAAAAACCTTTTCATGAATCCTCTGAGGCCCTGACACCACAACCAATTATTTACAATCCCAGGAAGGGCCACAAACTCTGGGTAAGATAGTGCCTTGGGAGGGGGGGCCTTGAATCTGCCCTCCAGGGCATGCAGCTAATGCAGTCACCCCTGCACTTGGGCCCCTTCACTTGGAGAAGTGTTCAGTAGTCTCCCTTTTGAGATTATTAATAATTTAGTTTTGTAAGAAAAGATTGACAGGACAGTGGAGATGTGCTGGGAGCTTGGAGCCTCAGCTCATGCACAATCCAGTCTCCCACAGCCTCCCAGGGAAGGGTTCTCAGCTGCCTGCTTCCCCACCCCCATCCAGTGAGGGCTGCTGCCCTCGGCCTCTTGCATGAGCAAGGCAAAGTCAGGGTTGGCTGTGCCCAGCTTGCCCAGTCCTTTGACGGTCTGCACTGGCCCTATGAGTATCCCTTGCCTGAGGGTGGGTGACACACCAAATAAGAAATACCAGAACAGAGAGAGAGGGTGAGACTGCAGAGAAAAGGAAAAATTTCCTTCCAAGAATAAGAGGCCCCCCACATTTCCACACTTTTACTTCACACAGGGACTGGCAAATTATTCCTGGCTCTGATTCCAGTTCACATCTTCAGGTCCCAGAGACAGCAACACAAGGAGTTAAAAGTCACAATGTTTTGTCAATATAACCAAGGTCTGGGAGGCAATGGAAGTATGACTCAGAAGGGAATTCTGGGAAGGCTTCACAGAAGAGGTGACATTGGCAATGAGCCTGAGACCAGAATAAGTTCCAGTTGATTAAGGAGTAGCATATTGAGGTCACTGAGTTTCAAATGCACATCAGTCCCACTTACTCACCCAGCTAGCAGGCTGGGATATGGAAGCAAGTGCCAGGTGCCAGAGTTGTGTTTGTTTGTTTGTTTTGAAATATAATACATATATGGAAGTGCATAAATCTGCAATGAATTTTTCTTGTGTGTGTACCTAGGTAACCACCAGTTAGATCAAGGTGTTAGAACACCCTCAGTGCCTCCGACTTTGGGGCCTTCGTGATCACCCAACACCCAACAAATCCAAAGAGAGTCACTGTCCCACTCCACTCATTATCGATTTGTGTTCAGGACCTGTTTTTTAAAAAATGAATAGAAAACTACTGATTGACTACTGTTCACAAGTATTTATCATAAAGAATTGAATGAATTCTGATTGCTACAAAGTTACTGCTTTCCCTGGTTTCTGCTGAATTGTAGCTCCAATACTGAAAAGATTGAGCCTACATGTAAGGAATGGGTTGGGGTAAAGAAAAGCATGCAGATTAATAGTATAAGGCTAAAAGTTTGTTTACCCATTTGTGCCAGCAGGTCCCACATTGCTGTATCTCTAGCCAGCTGTTGGGTTTTTACAGACACTCAGAGATTTCAGCTTTCCCTAAGGGAATGGCTCTCTACAAGGAACCAATTTAATAAGACTTGCTTGCCTAATTAATTAAAATACAGTATTTCTCTCATTATCTCATCTGAGTGGGAAAATTGTTGGTAATGATAATGTTTTACAAAAATTAAAAAATGTTCTAATTTAGGGGAGTTTTATAAATAAACTATTGAATTTATATAACTATAGTTCAGATATAGATTTTGATACAGCTGCTTTAAATTGCCCAATTTAAATTGTTCATGTTATATTTAAACTGTCCAATTAATTACAGAATCATCTATTTGTTTTAAAAGCTATGGCTACAGGAAATTTTTCCATCTAACTTGAGGTGATCTATTTCTTGGGTGGCTCAGAAAGACAGCACACCCCAGAAACAATATGTACTTAACTTACCCATGGTTGGGAAATGTTGTTTTTTGTTTTAAATAGTTTTATTTTTGGTGAATGTTAAAAAAAAACAGAAACCCAAACCATTTGTATACATAAATACACTCACACATACAAATAAACAAGAAGTCCAGTGTGATTCTTTGGGATGTGTGTTAGACTCAGGCCCTGGTTTCTGAAAAGCCTCACAAGTGGCAAATGCCAAGAGCTTCCCTTACAAAGTCTTGCTTTCCTGTCCTGCAGTGATACATTCTCACTGAACTTTCCTGTGCCTCAGCTGTCTTGTAACTGTATGTTATGACTGTGCTTCTAGACTTGTAGTGGGGGCCCCACTGGAGGCGGTAGCAGTTAACCAAACAGGACGCCTGTACGACTGTGCTGCTGCCACTGGCCTATGTCAGCCCATCTTGCTGCACAGTGAGTGACTCCAACCAGAAATTGGGGCCCTCAACCCTTCTACACAGGAGCGCCCTCTCCTCAGCCTCCAGCCCAGCCTTTCCCGACAGGTGGTGTGCCCATGAGTATGACTGTGTGTCTGTCCTCTCAGCTCCCCCAGAGGCTGTGAACATGTCCCTGGGACTGTCCCTAGCGACCACCACCAACCACTCCTGGTTACTGGTGAGTTTTCCTGGGTAGCAGGAAGGTCATGAGGGGAGAGCAAGGACCAGAGGAGACTGAGGGAGTAGAGGAGGCGGTGTTCTGGGGCCCTCTTGCCCACACAGGCCTCTTTCCCCAGGCCTGCGGCCCAACACTGCACAGAACCTGTGGGAAGAACATGTTTGCAGAAGGCTCCTGCCTCCTGCTGGGCACCCACCTGCAGGCCATCCAGACTGTCCCCGCTGCCATGGCAGGTAGGTCCCCCAGAGACAGTGATTCTGTGTGGAGCCTATGCTGGCATAGAGGGGTGGGCAGAGTACAAGACCCTGGTCTTGGCCTCCTCACTCATGGCCCCTTCCCAGAGGCCTCAGCAAACCCACAATGGGCTGGCCTGGCAGGGAGGGTGGCTCACAACAGGAACCCTAAGCTGGTTGAGGGGTGAAAGTTCCAATGGGGCAGTAGGAAGCCCTGGTGTGCTGACTGCAGGAGGCTTGAGGGTCTTGGGGTTGCCAACAGGTACAGGGATGTGCCTCAGGTTTTCAGGGAAAGGGATGATGCAGACATGGTGAGAATAATACATCCAGAGATCCAAGAGGGTCACAGTTCTGAATTGTTCACTGCTGAGTTGCCAGGACTCACGAGACTAACTTCCCCTCCGAAGGGGAGCAAATAATGGGGCCATGGGAAGTGTGATGCACAATTTTGCCAGCACCCACATTTTCCACAGAGAAGGGTGCTGGGGACACTGCATGGCATGTCTCTGAGTCAGTCGCATAGGTTTGTCTTCTGTGTCATTGGGAAAATGGCTTTATCCCTAGGCCTTGGTTTTCTCTTTGGTAAAACGGAACTTGATAATTGAGGTGGTTATGAGGATTAAAAGATTTAATGTATATAAAGTGCTCAGAACCCTGCCTGGCAAATGATATGTAAGAACCATTATGAATGGTTTTCTAGCTGACCATGTATTTGGAAACTGTTGTCCAAACACATGGACTATGAGGAAGATATAGGTAAACTGCCTCCTCTGAGGCATCAGAGGGGACAACAGGCTCCAAGTGAGGGCTGGGGCCATACATGGTGCTAACAGAGAAGTCATGATACCAGTGGTAGTGGCTTTTTTGCTAAAGGTGAGGCTGCAGCAGAAATATCCCAGCACTGTTTGAGGGGAGGTGCCCAGGACTCTTGGGGGTGCTGGGCCCTGCCTGGGATGGCTGTGCATCTGGGGTAGAGGATGTGGCATTTAAACACCAGGGGGTAAATGTCTTCTCTTAGACATCTCCAGGGCTCAGGAGGGGGAGATGCCTGATGAAAATGGGACACAGGTATTACACCTGGTGCAGGCAAAGCAGGTGCGAGCAGAGGTGGAAGGGACTGTGTGTCAGGCAGTGCTGGGTGCCTGGTGTGTATCACCTTATTGCATCCTCACAAGATTCTGGGTGGTGATCAGGGCAATCCCCATTTTACAGATAATAAAACTGAGAGGTGAGTTCCCACTGTTAGGTAGTGGCAGAGCCCAGAGCTTGAGCCAATTTTGCCTGACTGGCTCAGTCCTTTCTCAGAAGGCACTCAGCTACAGCCACCTGTCTGCTGTTGCAAGCCCAATGGACATAATAAAAGGGACAAGAAACAGAAATGACATTGTGAGGGAGTTTGCCACTGGCCTGGCCTGAGAATGGGGGTGGGAGTGGCTTTGTGAGACAATCGAAAAAGTGGGCATGAGTCAGATGTGGTGATGGTTGAGGCTTCTCAGTCTGCTTTGTGTGTGGTTGGTTTTGCTAGTTGTCGAGGACATAGATAGAGTAATGATCTTCTATTTCTTTTTGGCTCCTGTGAAGTGTCAGCTAGTTGAGAAGGGAGGATGGGGGAGGAGTGGGGAGAGGGGGTAAGGCATTTTTGCTTCAGTGGTGGGAAGCAGGGCTGCTCAGCATCACACCTCAGTGCTGTGGTGGCCCAATCCCCCACCACACTGGGAGCAAGGCAGGATGTGGGACACTGCTGGAGGCACTGACTGGGCCCTACACACAAGCCACAATCCCCCCACATGAGTCTGGGGACAATCTGAAAAGTTATATTTGCTCATGTGTGTGTTGGTGTGTCTTTTCATTACAGTGGACTCCACAAAGGCAGGGATGGCATTTTTTTTTAAAGCTATGATCTTAGATCAGATTTTCCTGGAAACAGACTTTGAAGCTCATTTGGGAATGTTCTTGGGAACAATGCCTCTGGAGCATGAGGAAAGAAGGCCTGTACAGAGGAAGACAGTGGGCTGCGATGTGATCAGAGTAGAGGACTCAACCCACCCCCAGGGAGCTTGGTACATGGCTGGATATGGAGTGCCCCCAGGAGCAGGAGGTGTAGCCTTGGCAAAGCAGCTCTTTTTGGACTAGGGTGGTGTCTGGGGAGGGACTCAGCTGGAAGCCGAGTCCCAGTGCTGAAGATGAGCACCTCAGGATGAGCATCCTGATGAGGGCAGGTCTTGGTAGTACATACCAGCACGTGTGTCCTTGGACCTAGAAGAATGGCACATGGTGGTGACGGTGATAGCAGCTAATGGCGGGGCCCTGTCTTAAGCCTTATGTGCATATTAATTCTTTTTGTTCTTATAATAATTCCTTGTAGTAGGCACTATTATTGCCCTCATTTTTGTAGATGGGGGAAACTGAAGCCCAGGGAAATTATATAACTTGCCTGAATTTGCCCCTATTAGAAGTCAGAGATGGGATTTGAGACCACGTGCACTGGCTCCAGAGTATATTTTGAATCACTATGCTAATTGCCTTCCCCTATGCTCTATGTTATCTCTAGAGTGTATATTCAATAAATATTTGTTGACTAATTGAATGAGGAGTCCACCCAGCCCCCATCCTCCACTTCCTCCTCCCCTGTCTGCCTTGTGGGAGTAGGGGAGCAAACAGGGACTTCTTTGCGGGGAGAAGGGACAACAGATTTGGGTCTTCTCTGTGGAGGGTGTTGGAAACCAGGTGGGAACTGATTCCTTTGCCAAGAATGGCCCCTTGACTCCATGGAGCAGGAAGGGTTTATAGACCCTGTGGAATGGCTGAGACCCATGCACGCATTTCTTTTTTTTTTTTTAATGTTTACCAGTCTCCCCCACTCACCAAATCCCCCCCCACACTTCACTACAGTCACTGTCCATCAGCATAGCAAGATGCTGTATAATCACCACCTGTCTTTTCTGTGTTGTACAGCCCTCCCCGTACCCACCCACAACACTATACATGCTCATCATAATGCCCCCTTTCTTTTTCCCCACCCTTATCCCTCCCTTCCCACCCGTCCTCCCCAGTCTCTTTCCCTTTGGTAACTGTTAGTCCATTCTTGGGTTCTGTGATTCTGCTGCTGTTTTGTTCCTTCAGTTTTTCTTTGTTCTTATACTCCACATATGAGTGAAATCATTTGGTACTTGTCTTTCTCTGCCTGGCTTATTTCACTGAGTATAATACCCTCTAGCTCCATCCATGTTGTTGCAAATGGTAGGATTTGTTTTCTTCTTACCATGCATGCATTTCTGACTTCCTCCCTCCTTCTCTGCAGAGTGCTCAAATCAAGAGATGGATATTGTCTTCCTGATCGATGGCTCTGGCAGCATTGACGAAAGTGACTTTAAGCAGATGAAGGCCTTTGTCAGAGCTGTGATGGGCCAGTTTGAGGGCACCAACACCCTGGTGAAGACTGGGCCTCCAAAGGCCCAAGGCCTGGGAAGTGGGGAGGGGGAAGGTTGACCTCTGGGGAAGGCCAGCCTGGGAGGTGATCTGAGGTTGGTGCAGTGGACCTGCACCACAATGAGGCTAGGGTGGAAGTACAGGGCCAATGTGAGTCCTAACCTGAGGGAGTTCCCCCATGGTTCTTAATGCATTCCAACATGCTATAGGAAATACAATGTTTTTGCTGTTCAAAACATTGAAGAGTTTGCAAAATAATTTTTTTGTGATATTGGACTGAAATTTGCTTGGCCAAATAATTGATGATTTCTTTATTAAATTTCCATGTAACTCATGATTTTTTAAGTTTTTAATTTTATTTCCCAATAATTATATACACATATGCACAGAGTCCTAAGATTACATTGTGTCACATGTGTTATAAAATTTAAAATTATCTAAGGTTAATAAATATTACAGTGGACAAAGTTATTCTTGGTAAACTATAGAAGAAGCATTATTTGGTTTTGATTTTCATTTTTATTTTTGGGCCAAATTTTATTTTCTGGGTTTCAATATATTGTTTGTAGTGCCTCAAAAGCACATGGAAATGGTTTGTAAATCCAACATTATTCCAAAGTAAAAAGTTTATTGAAAACAACACCTGAGTTCCAGACTCTTCCTCTTGGCTTTTGCAGTTCTCGCTGATGCAGTTCTCAAACCTCCTGGAGACTCACTTCACCTTCACACAGTTCCAGAGCAGCTCGAACCCTCAGAGCCTGGCGGATCAGATTGTCCAACATAGGGGCCTGACTTTCACAGCCACGGGCATCCTGACAGTGGTGTAAGCTCCCCCTCCTGCTTCCTGTGGGTAGCTGCCACACGACATCCTTGTGCGGGATCTGCATAGCCCTGCTCTGAAGCTGAGGGAGGCTCTGGGGAAAGAGGCTCCAAAGGGAAAGGAAGCGCTGCAGGCAGAGTCCTCCCTGGAGTCTTCTCCTGGATACTAGAGTGGACTGCTGTGCTCTTTGCCTGGCTTCTGATTGGCTGGACTCTGAGACCACCTGGTGTAGCCAGCGGCACGGGCTTGGGTACAGACACATCTGGGTTCCTATCCTGACCCCCTGCGTGCTACCTGGGCAAAGCTGAGAGTTATTGAGTCTTTCTAAGTCTTCATAAAACTGTTAAATGAAGATAATCTCACAAGTTGGTTGCAAGGATAAATGAGATAACATGTGTGAGGTGTTTCTGCACAAGAAGTGCTGGGTATATGGTTGGTATTTTATCCAGAGAACAGTGCAGCCCCTCTCCACCTTCCTGGCAGGGACTCAGGAATTGTTGCCAACGGTCTTCTTTGTGCCTTTCTCCCCACTCACCTTCCTCCATCCTATTCCTCTACAGTTGAGCCCTCTGTGTTAACCGGGCACTTATTATGTGCTGTCCAGAATTGGGTGCTAGGTAGTCCATGAAGAAAATGGCTTAGGTGGTGGGGCCAGAACAGAAAAGGTGGTTCTCAGGGGAAAGAACTGGCCTGGGTCCTTGACTTCCTGCACACCCCTGGGTGCCTCTCTGGGGGTGGCACTGGAGAAATGCTGAACAAGGGAAGCTCCCACCAAAAGAACTCTCTTTACTTCTAGATGGTTTTTCTGTCTTGAACACTGACCCCTTAGGACTGGACAACCAGGAGGAGAGAGCCTTTGCTCCTTAAGTTGGGAGCCACATAGGACTCGCGCCCCTTCCTAGCCCCTGGAGCTCCTCCCAGTGGTGGGCATTGGTGTGGCTCTTGGCATCATCCTTGCTCCCCATTGCCTGGAAGAGCCACCCTGCTCCCCAGAGCCAAACCCATCTCAGAGCTAGACTCAGCCCCTCCCTGACACTGACTGGGTTTTTTTTTTCTTTCTTTTTTTAGAAGTTTAATTATGAAAAAGACAGAATGGCAATAACATTAAAGAAATTTTGAAAAAATTAAGTATTGCCTACAGTCCCACTAGCCAGCCACCTCACAATATTCAAGCAACCATAAAGGATAAGTACAAATGAATAAACAAATCACACCCACAAAGCACAGTGTCATTTCCATGATTCTCTATATTCAGATGTATTTCATATTGTCACAATCAGGGCAGAAACTATTTTCATCCTGCCTTTTTTCCCACTGTTACACAAACCTGTTCCATGTTTCTCAACACCTTTTACTGTTTTCTTCTGAAATGGCTGTGTAATTTTCCACCAAGAGGCTGGATCATGATTGGCTAAACTCCTTCCCTAATGTTGGAAATTCAGGTTGTTTTCAGTATTGTATTTGGCACATGTGTCTTACTCTGAATTTGTAGAACTATAGGAACATATAATTACATTTTATCATTTGTAACAGCTACCTATAGGCTATTCAGTTGTAAAAGCTTGATCCCATCTGATCCCCAGAATAACCTGACACTATTTGTCTTAGTTATGTATTGTTGCCTAAAAACCATCCTCAAATTTAGAGCTTAAACAACTCTTTTATTATTATTTTTCATGATACTGGGGCTCAGCTGTGGGTCTCTTATGTGGCTGTGGTCAGGTGGCATCTAAGGCTGGAATGTGAAAGCTTCATTCACATGGCTGCTGCCTTGGCAGGATTGGCCAGGAGGCTGGGCTGAGCTGGGATGGTTGGGCCTCTCTCTGCAAAGCTACAGTAGCTATAGATGCCTCTGGCTATATAAACTTCTCTCATGATGGCTCAGGGCTCCCAGGAGTGCAAAAGCTACCAAGGCTTTGTAAGCCCCTAACTGGCATGTGTCAATTCCACTTCATGCTACTGATTAAAGCAAGTCACAGGCCAGGTGCAATGTGGGAAGGGAGACAAGTGGCATTGGGGGCCATCTTTGGAGACCAGCTATAGTACAATTTTCCTCATTTTGCAAGGAGAGAAGTACAGGCTGAGAGAGATAAAGTAACTTGCCCAAGTGTGTCTGATTCCCAGGCTCCTACTCTGAATCATACTGCCTCCTGGGAATGAGGTTCTTTAGTAGATGGAATTTTAGGAACAAGGAATATGGGAACCTTTATTATTGATTTTACTAATTATTGTCAGTATGCCTTTCAAAAAGGGTTGAATTGATTTCTTATCATGACTGACAGAGTCTGAGAGTACCAGGACTCCCCAGTCTCTCCAGATGAGCTTCATGTTGCAAATGATTTCTTTCCAGAATCAATCGCACCTCAGTAGAGCCACCTCCCTTTCATCCCTGACAGGAAAGAATTATTTCATAGTAAGAGTGGGGCCCGAAAAAGTGCCAAGAAGATCCTCATTGTCATCACAGATGGGCAGAAATACAAAGACCCCCTGGAATACAGTGATGTCATCCCCCAGGCAGAGAGCGCCGGTGTCATCCGCTATGCCATTGGGGTGTGTCCTCTTCTTCATGGTTCCTTCAGACTCACTTGCACCTCACCCAGGCAAAAAGGCTGGTAGGCTCTTCTCCTCAGCTGCCTCTCTGCTGCAGGTGGGAGCTGCTTTTCAGGAACTCACTGCCAGGCAAGAGTTGAGCACCATAGGCTCAACACCCTCAAAGGAGCACGTGTTCAAGGTGGACAACTTTGCAGCCCTCAGTAGCATCCAGAAGCTGCTGCAAGAGAAGATCTTTGCAGTCGAGGGTAAAGGAGAGTGAGCTTGGAATTGAAAGGGTTGTCCCCCAGAGTCCTGAGGGTTCATCCCTATTCATAACTCACCCAAAACTGTTTCCCAGAACCCGAGCCCCAGACCACATGCTCCCGCTTCTGTTCTGAGTTCTCATGGTCTCATGGCCTCCACAACTTAAATGACTTTTTTACCTCACAGGAACCCAGTGGAGGATAAGTAGCTCCTTCCAGCATGAGATGTCACAAGAAGGCTTCAGTTCTGTATTTACAATGGTGGGTAGAGTATGTACTTGAAAAACAGGTCTCAGGTACCAACCTTTGGGCCAGCCCTGGGCTGGAAGCTGGAGCCTAGATGTAAACAAGAAGGCAGACCCTGTCCTCAAGCTCACCATCTAGTGGAAGAGGCCTATAAAAGTGTATGCAGGTACCGGGAGCATAGCAGAGAACAGGACAGCCAAGGTTCCTGCCCTCAGGGAGTGCATATCTAGTGGGAGATGCCAAACAATAAACAAATACTTTAAAATTGTTCTAAGCATTGGGATAGGGAAAGAGGTGGTCAGGGGAGGCCTGAGGAGTGACAACTGAGGCCGAATGATGAGAAAGGGCCAGCTCTGAAAAAAATCTGTGGAGAGATTGCTTCAGGTAGAGGAAAAAGCAAGCCCAAAGATCTGGGGCAGAAACAAATTTACTGCACTAGAGGGACAGAAGGGCCAGCATAACTGGAGTTAGAGTGAGCTAGAGGCAGCATGAAAGGAGACAGCCAGAGAAATGGGAAAGGCCAGACTATTCAGACCAAAGAAATGACAATATGGCATGACTTGTCTAAAAGTTGATGTGTGTTCAAATTATCCAGAGGGATTTGCTTCAAAGTAATTTTGGCCATGAGTCAGGGGGATGTGGAAATGAAATAAGTTTGGTCATGAATTGACCAATAAAGCTGGGCCATGGGTACTTAGGGGCTCTTTATAGATTTCTTTTGACTTTTATATATGTTCTAAATGATCTATAATCAAAAGTTTAAAAAGGCAATAAACAAAATATGAAGAGAAAGAAGCTCCTATCACAGGGAAGGTAACTTTGAGGCTGAGTCTTCTAGAAAAAGGAATTGAGTCCCAAAAAGAAGAGAGAAGGGTGTCCAGGCCAAAGACTTGATGGGCTTGGGACAGAGTAATGCCACAGGTTTGATTGGGAAGGATCCTAGATGCCATCCTTGGGCTTAGTGACAGAGAGTTATCTTGGTTTGCCAGCAGAGAGGTGGCTGCACATTTAAGTTTGAGAAAACCTAGCTCTGGGGCAGTAGAAGATGGACAGAGGAGAGCAAGACAGGAGGCAGAAAGGGCTGGGTGAGAGATGATAGGGCTGACCAGGACAGTGACAAGGAGGAGCTGGACTGAGAGATGTTAGGAGGCAGGGACACAGGCTACTGGTGAGGGCTGGGGAAGAAGGAAAGTGGAATTCCAAATGGTGAGTGGAGTTGGTTGCGTTGCTGTGGAATAGCCTGTCTTCTTGCCCCAGTCTGCTGAGCCCTGGAATCCTTTCCCCCTAGGATGGACCAGTTCTGGGGGCTGTGGGGAGCTTTAGCTGGTCTGGAGGTGCCTTCTTGTACCCCCCAAATATGAGGCCTACCTTCATCAACATGTCTCAGGAAAATGTGGACATGAGGGACTCTTATCTGGGTGAGAAAAGACTGCGGTTAGGAGGACAGGTGGGAGGTGGGCTGCCTGGGAAGGGCAGGGACCCTGGGACTGGGAGGGGAGCCTTTGTGCTGAGGCCCGGCCCCCTCAGGTTACTCCACCGAGCTGGTCCTTTGGAAAGGTGTGCAGAGCCTGGTCCTGGGCGCCCCCCGCCACCAGCACACCGGGAAGGTTGTCATCTTTACCCAGGTGTCCGGGCAATGGAGGCCGAAGGCTGAAGTCACAGGGACCCAGGTTGGGTGTGGAGGAAGCCAGTGTGGAACGTGAGGGTGGCAGGGGCTCCCGGGGTGGATACGGAGAAGAGAGGGGTTTGGGGCCCATGTGGAGAGGTCTGAGTGGTGGAGAGAGGCAGGCCCTGGCTCAGAAGGGGCAGGCAGGATGGCTTCAGGCTCTGCCTTCAGGTTGGCTCCTACTTCGGGGCCTCCCTCTGCTCTGTGGACGTGGATGGAGATGGCAGCTCTGACCTGGTCCTCATCGGGGCTCCTCATTACTACCAGCCGACCCAAGGGGGTGAGGTGTCTGTGTGCCCCTTGCCCCAGGGGGTGAGTGGCTGATGGGGCCTGGACTGGGTATTGGGTGGGGGTTGGGTGTGGGGTGGGGGTTGGCCAGGTTAGGGCCTGACACTGGTTTTGTTCTGCAGAGGGCTAGGTGGCAGTGTGAGGCTGTTCTCCATGGGGTGCAGGGCCAGCCCTGGGGCCGCTTTGGGGCAGCCCTGACAGTGGTGGGGGATGTGAATGGGGACAAGCTGACGGACGTGGCCATCGGAGCCCCGGGAGAGCAGGAGAACAGGGGTGCTGTCTACATATTTCATGGAACCACAGAATTGGGCATTGGCCCCTCCCACAGCCAGGTGAGGCACCTGTCTTACAGCTCCATCTTCTTTCCCATGTCTTAGATTTTCCTGAAGCTGTCTCTCATCACTGGCCTTTGCAGTAGCCATTCTCCTTCTTTTAACAGTTTATTTCCCTGAATTTCACCAGGCCTAACTAAGTGCGAATGACCTCTCTTTTCTCCTTTGGCTCCAAACAGACTTCCATTTGTTGTGGGCAGCCTAGTGGGTAAGAAATTGCAGGTCCCAGGTAAAATGCCTGGTCAGCCTTGTTAGCTGTGTGGCCTTAGGCAAGTGACTAATTTAGTGAGTCTTATTTCCTTCTATGAGACATGAAATGATAAACTCCACAGGCTTCTTGTAAAGATAACTCAATGGGAGCATTAAGCATTCCATCAAATATTTGTGAATGAACATAATAGAGGAGTAAGTGAATCTATTATATCCCTATTGTCATGCTTTTTTTTGTTGTTAACCTACAACCTTATGAAGAGTTGGACCAAAAGAGCTCCCCTCTCCTTGTCTGGGGTCCCTGAGGTCCTCACTTGCTTGCTTTCCATTTCTACCCCCTCCACTCTCCTTTTCAATTTCTCCATGCAGATCCACTTTTGCTGCAGTCTCCTTTCCAAAGCTTTCTTCTCAAACATTTCCAATCGCCTTCCCTTGACTTCCATTTCTCATTTTTCTCTCTGGGCAGTGGATTACAGGCTCCCAGCTCTCCCCCAGCCTCCAGTATTTCGGGCAGTCACTGAGCGGGGGTCAGGACCTCACCGACGATGGACTGGTGGACCTGGCTGTGGGGGCCCGGGGACATGTGCTCCTGATCAGGTCACAACTCCCTATCCCTAACCTTTGCCTATTATGTCTGATTCACCAAGCTGCCCATTTCCTGTTCTCTTCTCCGAGGCCAGAGTACTGTCCTCAGTCCCTATATCACCCCTAGGAGCCTGCCAGTGCTGAACATGGAGGTGGCCATGAGATTCACACCCTCAGAGGTGGCAAAGGTTGTGTACCAGTGCTGGGAAGAGGTGCCTGCCACTCTGGAAGCTGGGGAGGCCACAGTCTGTCTCGCTATCCATAAAAGCTCACTGGATCAGCTAGGTGAATCTCCCAGTAGACCCAGTCCCTCACCCCCCAGAAGCCCCTAGCCCTATCCTTAGGAGAGAATGAGACCAGGAATCCAAATGTCACCTCCATGTCCACTCAGCTGTCAGTGTCAGAAACCTGGTTCTCTTCTCTCCCTGTCTTCCCACATGCAGGCCTGTAAGTTCTCTCTCCAGGATATACTTGGGGTCTGCACACTTCTCTGCAGCAGCCCCAGCCACTGCCTTTCTGCAGGCCACTGCTTGTCTTTCCTACCTACTCACTGAGTAGTTCCCACATCTGTTCTTGTGGCCTCTCACCATTTTCCATAGAGGAACTAAACGGATTTGTCCCCAAATACAAATCTGGTCTCTTTACTTCCCTGCTTAACCCCCTTAAACTGCCCCCTTCTTGCATTTATTAAGACCGAAGTCCTTCCCTACAATGCCCTCACTAATTTGCCTCTCCCTGCCACTCTAGCCTCTCCTCATCCCTCTCCCCTCACTCAGTACACATTTTACAAACAAGCCAGCCTCCCTCTTTCATATGATCTTAGTTGCTGTTCCTATACCTGGACTTTCTCCACCCCTCTTCACCCAACTTCTGATCATCCTCCAGGTCAAAGCTCAGACAAGGCACATCCAGGAAGGCATCTGTAAGCCCTGGGTCCGAGTTAGCAAATCCTCCTCAGTACCACTGAGGATCCGGCCCTTGCACTGATCACACACTCCGATATGTCCTATGTGCTTGTCTCCTTTCCAAAATGCAAGCTTCACGTAGCCAGGCTTCATATTTCTCTGTCTTCTTCTTCACATGTATCCCCAGCACCTGATATAGTTCATGGCCCATAGAAAGTGCTCAGCACATATTTATCACATGAAAAAGTGAAAGCAGAACATTCTATGTTTTCTTTGATTTTACACCTAAAAACTCCCCGTTTCATTTCAGGTGATGTCCAAAGCTCTGTCACATATGATCTGGCATTGGACCCAGGCCGTCTGATTTCTCGTGCCATTTTTGATGAGACCAAGAACTGGACTTTGACTCGAAGAAAAACCCTGGGGCTGGGAGTTCACTGTGAAACTGTGAAACTGCTTTTACCCGTGAGGACTTCGGTTGTGGGCAGGGGAGAGGGATGAGGAGCCCAAGGCTAGCCTCTGGCGTCTTTTCCCCCTGCTGAGTGAGAGGGGAAGGAATGGGGAGACTGGGGCTAGAGAGAGGAAAGTTGGGGCCAGAGAACCTGGCTCCACAGCTGGGGTGGGGTACTGTCTAGGCAGGAGGGAACAGCAGTGTAACAGAAGTCCAGCAGTGGAAAGTAGTGGATTCTTGACAGCCTACTTCCCGTCAGGGCTGTGTGGAGGATATAGTGAACCCCATCACACTGCGCCTCAACTTCTCCCTGGTGGGAGAACCCATCCTCTCATCCCAGAACCTCCACCCTGTGCTGGCTGTGGGCTCACAGGACCTCTTCACTGCTTCTGTGAGTTTTTCAATGAAGTCCCAATAATGTGCTGACTTTCACTGTGTCTCCATGTCCTTAAGAACCTACAGTGGTTCCCAATTTGTCCACCAGCCACACCAAGTCCATAATGCCTCTGCCCACTTAGCAAGACCCTGCCTAGTTGGATCCCTACACATACACCAGCTGGTTATCCACTTTACCCCAACATAAAATCTCTGGTTCTCATTCTGCAGATCCCTCTCAGTTTTTCTCATTCCTGCCTCTGAGCCTTTGTCCATGTATTTCTTGTTTCCTTCTTTCCACCTCAAAGATCTCCTCTAGTTCCCCAAAGCCCCAGTCTTATCTTCCTCTCTTTTGAAAACCACATGCAGAATCTGTCAATTCTTCTCTGGCTTCCTAATATGTTGTGGTGATACCATGACATTATCACATGACTATAGCAATCTGTATCCACCTCTTTGTCTCTCTCAGAATTGCAGGTTCCTTGAGTGCAAGAACCATGTCTAATCCACTTTAGTTTCTACTTTCCTAACCCCTACCCAACCCAGAACCTTTCCTGTTATTTACGTTTAATAATGTTTGTTGAAGAGTTGTTCCAGTGAGTTGGATTTTACTCCTCAACTAAACTCTATGTTCCTTGAAGCCAAGGACTTTGCCTAATTTTTCATTTATATTCTAACGCATCCCCAACCCCCCAACTCCTGGCCAGTGTCAGACATGGCACTGGGTGCAGGGTGGGTGCTCGGTAACTCTCAGTGCTGATGAGTACCCCTAATGAAGGGGTGGGAGAAGGATTATGACATGGATGGGAAGAGAATGTACTTTTTTGCTGCAGTTCCCCTTTGAGAAGAACTGTGGGCAAGATCACCTCTGTGAAGGGGACCTGCGTATCAACCTCAGCTTATCAGGGTGAGCTCTATTTCCTTTCATATCCAGACACTAAAGCTTTTGCGTCTTCCATCCTCATAGGATGAGAAGTGCTTGTGTTTCCCTTTGGCTCACTTTCTATCCTAGAAGTGATTTTGACCAGAATGTTAGCATGAGCTATGGCTCATGAATTCCCACAGTCCTATCCCTGCCCTGAGCTAATTCCAACCAATTTCCAATGGAGTCTCTCTCCCAGTCTTGTCCTTCCTCCTTCAGCCTGCAGACCCTGGTGGTGGGGAGCTCGCTGGAGCTCAACATGACAGTTACTGTGTCGAATGAGGGTGAGGATTCCTATGGAACCGTGATCAACTTCTACTACCCAGCAGGGCTGTCCTATCAACGAGTGTTAGGAACCCAGGTAAACATCTCCCTTGGGCTCTAGTCGCAGGGACTTCTCCATGCCATAGGTTCCTTTTAATTCTTCTATGGTGAAATATAAACACACAAACAGAAAAGTGCATAAATCATATGTATAGTGTAATGAATAATATTAAACAAATGTCTATGCAATTAACATTCAGGTCAAGAAATAAAGCACTGCAAGTACTCCTAGAAGCCCTTTCCTTCTGCCCAAGGGTAACTACTATTCTGACTTTGTGATCAGTTTCTTGTATTTCTTTATAGTTTCACTACCCATGAGTACATCCCTAGATAATAATGTTCAGTTTTGCTAATACTTGAACTTTATGTGAATTACAACATATATTCTTTTGTGTCTATCTTCTTTTCTCCAATATTATTATATTCATGAAATTCACAAATGTTATTGCTTGTGGCTGTACATTTTCATTACTATATAGACTATACCACAATTTCTTTACCCATTCTACAATCAAGGTCATTTGAGTTGTTTCCTGATCATGGCCATGACATTCTTGAGCATGCATCCTGGTACCCCTATCATAATATTTGGAATTCCACATGTGGAATTGCTGGGTCATTGGCTATGTGTATCTTCAGTTATAATAAGTACAGCCACACCATTTTCACCTATTTACACTTCCAACAGCACTGTATTAGAGTTTCTGTGGATTTCCATCCACTCCAACATTTGGCATTGTCTAACTTTAAACTTTTTGTCTATCTGGTGGGCAAGTAATGATATCTCCTTGCAGTTTTAATTTTCATTTCTGTAATGAGGTTGAGGAACTTTTTATATATTTCATGGTCATTTGGATTTCTTCTTTTAGGAATGCCTGTCCAAGTCTTTTCCATTGAGTTGTCCATCTTTTTTTTACTAAGTTGTAAGAGTCCTTTACATATTCTGGTTATTCCTTTTCCAGTTATATGTGTTCTATTATCTTTTCCAGTCCTTCTGTTTTCAGGCTCTTTGTAGTATCATTTAATAAACATAGTGTCTTAATTTGATTGTGGTTGATTTTTATCGATCTTTTCCTTTGTATTTAGAGTTTTTGTGTGCAGATCTTAAGAAAAACTTCTCTACTCCAAGGTTATGGAGATATTTGCTTATATTATCTTCAGCAAGCTTTGTAATTTTACCTTTCACACTTGTCTTAAATCCAGTTGGAATTTATTTTGAAGTACAGAGTGAGGTAGGGATCCAGTGGTTTTTAGGGTTTGTTTTTTTTTTAATATGGGCCAATTCTCCCAGGACCATTTATTGAAAAGTCTGTCCTTTCTCCCCTTTAGTTTGCAATGCCACCACTGTTATATATGGATCCCATATATGCATGTGGGTAGCTTTTTAAAATTCATTCTTCTCCTCTGAAAGCAACCTCATCAGCCCCCATTGCTCCTGGCATGTGAGGCAGTGCCCACTGGGAATGAGGGCCTGAGGAGCAGCAGCTGTAGCGTCAACCACCCCATCTTCCAAGAGGGTGCTAAGGTCAGTTCTCCCCCAGACCCTCATTACTCTTCTCCCTCATCCTGACTCATTTCCTTCCCTCGTTTCCCTTGGACCTTCCCTATCCCCATTTCTTCTTTCTTCTTCCTTCAGGGCACCTTCATAGTCACATTTGATGTATCCTACAAGGCCACCCTGGGAGACAAATTGCTTTTGAGGGCGAATGCAAGCAGGTGAGCCTAGGCTAGGTATGGTGTATCCCTGCCTCTCCCATGTCATGCCCCAGCCAGAGACTCCTCTCCTGGATTCCTTCCCCGATGGGCTCCCCTTTCTTTCTCCAGTGAGAATAATAAGCCTGCAACCAGCAAAACTACCTTCCAGCTGGAGATCCCAGTGAAATATGCTGTCTACATGGTGATTAGCAGGTACTTAAACCTTGACTCTATCCTTGGACCTCTGACCTTCCTCCAAAACTAGTACCTCTCCCTGCAGCGCAGCCTGCTCTTTTGAGGATGGGTATCTAATTCACTTCCCCTGATTCCTCAAATGGGAATACTTGTGACCAGTGATATATTTATACCACATCATGTACCATAATTCTTGCTTCTTCTCTGATGAATTAGGCTGCTGGTGGGACACATATACCTCATGACCACTGTGCACTCACTCCTGTCTTCAAGATGTAGGCTACATTTAACATAAACCCAATCCCATCCTTTGTGCTGAATACCACTGTGCAAAAGCAAAATTAACTAGATTAAGATAAAGGCTTTTCTGAGTGCTCTGAGGTGAGGAGCTTGGGCCCAACAGGATATGGTTTGTCACCTCATAGAGGAAAGAAAAGGTCAGACTTTCACAAAACTCAGAGGAGAGCAGAGATGTGAGAAGCTGTTGGAAAGTCTCTAAGAGCCCAAGGCCGAGGCAGGCCACAGGAGAGGCACATAGAGCTGTTGCTCTGGGTTTTGAAGGTGGGCGGAGGAGCTGGGGTAGGCCAGGCTGAAGTGGGGCAAGGAGCCCCAAATACCTGGCTAACTTCCAGGGACTTTGAGAGTTGGCAGGAAGCCCACGGTAGTGCATGGGGTGGAGTTCACTGCTGGTGCTCCCACTGCTGACATGGACTTTTAGGGGAATTACAGAGGCAGGTGACGCAGTGTCACTGCCCTTCCAGACTCCATGTGTGAATCTCCCCTTCTATACATGGGAAAACACTGAAACTTATGATAAGAGCATATAGTTGTATATACTTATGATGTGCCAGGCATTGTTTTAAGTACTTTACATGTATTTAAATTCATTTAATCCTTCTAATAAGTGTATTATATAGTTATTGCTATCCCCCTTTTTACCAAAATAGATTTAAATATCTTGCTCCTGTCATTCAGCTGGGAAGTGGCAGAACCAGGAATCAAGCCCCGATGGTCTGGCTCCAGGGCTTGTGCCCACAGCAATTTACTACATACCTCCCCAAGGATTGGGGAAACTGAAAGGTTTTCTCAAATTTGAAAAGAGGTTTAGAATTGGAAGAAAACGGAATGATGAGAGAGAAAGGGTTGGGGGTGGGAGGAGCAGAGAGGAAGGCCAATATACTAAGGGATAAAGATGAATTCTAATACTTATGGCACTACTACAAACCTCATCACAACTCTATTATAAGCACGATATTTTAGCATCCCTATTTGGAAGAGGAAAAACTACAGGGCTCCAGAGAGGTTAAGTAATTTACCTTAAGGTACTTGGGTAGGAAGAGATGTGAACCCAGGTGGTCTGGTTTCAGAGCCTATGTTCTTACTCATCAAGTTGACAGTAATATCTGTGGGGCCCACAGAGTTCCCATATGGCTGGCTGGCTTGGCTTCTGTGTATGAGTCGCTGGTGAAATGTGCAAGCCCTCTCTGCTTGTCCGCCTGACTTCGAGATTAGCTGTTAAACTCTAGGAAGGGAGAGATTATGGCTTGTTAACTATTGTATCTCCAGGGCCAAGCACACAGCCTAGGACATGGTAAATATTTACTGAAGGAGCCCATGAATAGATGGATAGATGGGACGCCACGTACAGCCTAGAACATTTATGTCCACTCTATGGGCTTATGTTCATGCACTAGCTTTCCACACATTACTTAACTGCCCCAGGATAGCAACATCTATTTTCTTTACTATGTGCTCCAGCCATTGTTCCCTCGAGTCCCCTTAGGCTCCTTTGTTCTGGCAGCAGCCTCTGTAAGCATTGGTTTAGGCCAAGCATGCAGCTACTAGAGAAAGCAGTGCCTTTTCCCAGTGGGAACATGTTTGAACGTTTTAAGAGGTGATATTAAGTTGGGTCTTAAAGTGAAAATTTCCAAAAAGGGAGTGGATAAGGACAGTCCAAGCAGAAGAAAGAGCTTGAGCAAAGTAATGGGGATATGAAAGAACTGTGGTATCAGGAATAAGCTCACATTTCTGGGTGACCAGTGTAAAGGACATGAGAGGAGCTGAAGCTGAGGCTGCAGAGGCATGTGAGGACCATCATTATTTCCTTGGGTCATCTGCTGGGCCCAACAAACCCTTCTTCAGTAGGCGGGGGGCACAACTGGGGACAGTGCCAGGGTTGTTGTTTTACCAACAAGCCCTCTTTTTCCAGGCAGGAAGAATCCACCAAGTACTTTAACTTTTCATCTTCCGGTGAGAAGAGCAGGAAAGCAGCTGAGCACCGATACCATGTACGAGGCCAGGGAGTATCCACCCACGTCCGACCCCCCATGACGATGCTGATGTTGGAAGCTGGTGGGGAAAAATGAGATGAGCTGAGGGCTGGAGCCAGGAAACAGTAGAATTGGGGTACTCCAGGGATCACAGTAATGTTTGGTCTCAATTTTCTGCAGGTGAATAACCTGAGTCAACGAGAGCTGGCTATCAGCATTGATTTCTGGGTTCCCATCCTGCTGAATGGTGTGGCTGTGTGGGATGTAGCTGTGGTGGCCCCTTCACAGGTGCCTGCCTGCCTTTCCTTGTTCTCTGGGGTCTGATCCCACTGTGCCTCACACTCTCCTGCCAGTAAAATTTTGATCATTTTGTGGTTTTTTTTCTCTCTCACTAGAGTCTTCCCTGTGTGTCAGAGAGGGAACCTCCCCAGTATTCTGACTTCCTGACCCAGATTCCAAGGAATCTCATCCTGGTGAGAAAGACTCTGGACTCCCACTGCAGAACCAGCTGCACATTAGGGGATATAGGGAGATGGCTTGCAGAGCTATATATATGCCTGTACATCTGTTCCCCACCCCAAATCTGACAGACTTTATTTTCATTTGTGATTCTTCCCTAAGTTGAGACTTTCCTCAACTTCATTCCTTTCTATCCCTTAGGACTGCTCCATTGCTGACTGCCTGAGGTTCCGCTGTGACATCCCCTTCTTCAGCATCCAGGGGGAACTTGACTTCATCCTGAAGGGCAACCTCAGCTTTGGCTGGGTCAGCCAGGTATGGCCCAAGAGCACAGTCCCTCTCCCAGGTTCAGGTGATACTACTGTGTCTATGCCCATCCTAGGACAGGATACTTCTCAAACTCTGAGCCTTCCCCAGAGCTGGTTCCCCAGCTCTTCCCTTCTCTTTTGCAGATGTTGCAGAAGAAGGTATTGGTCGTGAGTGTGGCTGAAATCACATTCAACAGATCCGTGTATTCCCAGCTTCCAGGACAAGAAGTATTTTTGAGAGCCCAGGTAGTGACTGTGCAGTGGGCAGTGGCCAGGCTGGTCAGAGAGTTCCTGATACTAAATCTGTGATGTTGGGTGGGAGGTTTACAGTCTGGAGGAAGAATATAGGTCCCTGGGCAGTAAGGTTGCAACTAAGCCCGTGAATGCTTCTGTATCTCACCCCTTGGATCAGGGCCTGGGGAGTTAAAGGTTGGGGAACCTGTGAAGAGTCTGGGACAGCCAGACACCTGATACTCTCTGATCCCCAAATCAGATGGAGATGATGCTAGAAGAGTATGAGGTCTATGATCCTACCGCCCTCGTTGCGGGCAGCTCTGTGGGAGGACTGCTGTTACTGGCTCTCATCACAGCTATACTGTACAAGGTGAGTGTTTTCATCCCACTCTTGACACCACTGATATCCAACCAAGCCCTCCCACAGACGGGTGAACTGTGGGAAGAACTCGGACAACAAAGTCAGGCAGGCCTGTGTACCAATTTTGGCTCTGTCTTACTATTTAATTTCAGGCAGGTTGCTCAACCTCTCTGAGCCTGTTTCCTCTTTTCTGAAATGATTATAATGCCTATATCATAAAGTGGCTGAAGAGAGACAGAAATGAGGCCAGGGTATGTGCAGAGGCCTGCCTGACTATAGCATCTGTACTTTTCTGCTATAGCTTTGTGTATAACTACTGTGTTTGGCACATAGTACATACTCAGTACATGATAGCTGTTGTTCACATAAATGTTCTGGCACACAAATACAAGTCAGCTGAGTTCTCCTCTCTTCTCTCTCAGCTTTTTCCTTTCCTCAGCTTTCTTCCCTGATCTCTTATCCAGCTTTTCTGATTTATTTCCCCTCACAGCTTGGCTTCTTCAAACATCAGTACAAAGAGATTATGGATAACAAGCCTGAAGACACTGCCACATTCAGTGGGGAGGATTAAAGCTGTGGGACCCCAAATTTGCCTTTATCCTAATATCCATCTTTCTGTTCATCTCTACCCCATGGGCTGGTCTTGCCTTAGCACTCAAATGTACTTCTGTGGGAATAACTTCTGCATAGATCTGGACTGGCTTGATCAACTTACCAGGTGTTAAGCTACCTTCCCAAGTGGTTGAAAGATTTTTATACTGATGCTGGCATGAATTTTCATATGTATAAGAACTGTCACATTAAATGAGAATGTTTATAACATATTTTCTTTGTGTGAAAGAGGGCTGAGTGGTATTTTAGGAAGAGTTGGGGGAACCTACTTGTGGGCATAGAAAATATCCTCTCACTTTCTCAGGTGACTGGGGCCTGATACAATCTTTTCTTAATGGTGCTATCATATCAGAGAGAGCCAAAGGAAGCTCTCTATGTATGTGTTGTTCATAGGTTTCAGCATAGGCTTCAAGCAATTACTATTGCTTGGTAAGGCAAGTGGGCCGACTGTCCTAGGAGGTGAATGAAATGTCCAGAGCTTGTTTGAACCAATGTCTACTTTGGATGGGGTCCCTTTAGAAGCTAGGAGAGCCAGGCTTCCAGAAAAGAGCATCTGATTTCTCAAACTAGTATAGAACACCCATTAAAGGTGTTCACAGAGAATGACAGAAATATTCCAAATCCAGAATTAGGTCATGAAGCCTCACACATAGGGCTGTAGATTCTATGTTTGAAGCTTGGATTGTTCCTAATAGCCAGAATTTACAGATGCCATCAATGTGTCAGGTGAAAGGTCTGCAACCCGAGTTCCCACAGGACTCCTGATGAGCTGTCTGAATTTAAGTCATTCAATCTCTCAGAATCTCAAATTCCTCTTTAGGGACAGAAGATCTAAAATTGTATCTTGCTCCCAGAATTATTGGGAGCATTCAGTGGATGTGAAAGCCCCTTACAGCTAGAACTCTTATTATTAATAGGTTAGAGAGATGCAGGGATCTCCTGCCTGTTCCTTCCTCAAGGACGTTGTCCCCTCAACAGCTCCCCAACCCCGGCCTTGGCCAGAGCGCGTGGGGCGCCACCCGCACTGTGCGCCTCTACCCCGGAGCACCGCTCCACCGCGCCCCGCCCTGCGCGGCGCGGGTGCCCAGAGCCGGCCACACGCAGCTTCCACACCTTTATTGCGCCTGGGGGGGCGTCCGCCCGGGCCTCAATGCTGTTCATAGCCCGTGGGCAGAGGGTTAACGCGGGGATTGTGGAAAAGAGTGTGGTTGCCGTCTCCCCAGGAGTAGGGCTGCGGAGAGAAGGAGAGCGAGTTGTCTGCGCAGCCCGAGCCCCCTGCACCCCTTGCCCGCCCATCCGCCCCAGTGCCAAGGCCTCGGGCTGGTGTACCTTGGTGCGGATGCGGAGGTGGTGGTAGGGGATGAACTCGGGGCGCTTGTGGTGGCCCGCGTGGAGCCAGGAGTTGAGGGTGCAGAGGACCACGCTCGGGAGCGCCAGCACGAAGGTCAGGAGGCGCCAGGTGCGGGCTGCAGCAGGGAAAGGCCGGGTGAGATAGAGGCGGGGAGGGCCTCTGTGGGGGAGGGTTAGCCGGTAGGGGTTGTTACCAGGACCCTGGAAGGCCCCAGAGGCCGGAGGGGGTACGGGTGTTAAAGATCAGGAAGCCCAGGGTCAAGCCCCAGCCCCACTCACCTCCCGCCCCTCCGTGGTCTCCCTTGGCTGCGCTCGCCAAGCCCCGACTGAAGGACCTCAGGGGCAGAGCCATTGCGATGAGAAAAGCTAGGAACAATAGCACTGTCCTTTCCCTCTCCTTCACTGAGGCCCCTCCCCTCTTCTTGGGCCAATGACCTGTTGAGTCTGTAACATGGGTGGTTATTTTTAGGGGTTTTCTATATTTAAAATGAAGCCTGCCTGTCATGAGGTCCTTCTCTCCAGACAGCTGCTGTACTGTGCCTCTCATTTTGGTAAGAGGACATTTAAAATATAATATGCCAGTCTTTTTATAGTCTCAGGAACTCTTGTTCAATACTCTGTTACCAGTGGCTGGCACACAACAGGCCTTTAATTAAGTGTCCTCTTGAATGTCAGGTGTTTTTTTCTATAAAATGTGGAATAATTTGTACCTTTTATGATGTTTATGAAGTTTAAGTAAAGTAACATAGGAATATGCCAGCTTAGAGTCTGGCATGTAACAGTAGCTCAGTATATTTATTAGCCACAGCTTTGTGCAAAAACCAGAATTCACCCTAACTAGTTTTAAAAAGGTAAGCAATTGAAAACTTTAGGTAGCTCACAGTAGCACTGGTACAGCCAAGGAGGCCTATGATCTATCTGCACAGCCAGAAATAAAACATTCTGTGGGCCAGGTGGAGTGAGACACCACCACAGTTCACACTGCTGGACACTGGATACTGAAAACTTCATTGCTGCTGCCCTGGAAAGCCAGATTGTTCCACTCTCACCCCCTCCTGAAAATGGATTCTTTTTGACACTTGCATCCTTGAGTTGTTGTCTTCTGAATCAGAGAATCATGGGCTCCAAATGATCTAGGTCATTGCCTGTGTTCTAGCTTATTGAAAGGCTGGGAAATTGAATTCTGGCTTCTGCCTTAAGGAGGCAGGAATTGTATTTTGGAGAAAATTTCCAAATATAGGAAGAGTATTCAAAAGATGCCCGGTGGCCACAAACTTGACAAGTGTTACTGCTAAAATTCAGGTCTGAAATATCTGTCTACTTGGAGGACCAAGAAGAAGCCTATGCAGGCCTGTGTAAACTCTGTATCAAAGCAGGTGGTTAGAAAGCTGCAGACAAGACAGAGGTGAGGTCTGCCTTGTTCACCATTCTGTCCTCAGCACTAGCACAGAACCTGGAGTGAAGCAGGTCTTCTAAAAATATATATTTAATGATTGCTTGAACCATATTAATTGACTAGCCCTATGATTAGCCTTTTCAGAACTATAATCCAACAGGATGTCTTCAGCTTTGACCAAGGGGTGATGTACCTAATCTATATGAATTTAATATATAAAAGGAAAATTAACTTTATGTACCTCATCTGAATATATAAAAGAAAAATGGAAAAGGTACTTTTCAAGAAGAGGCTCCATAACTCTTCCTTCTCTTGGTTCTAAACTGAATACTAGCTTCTACTGAAATTTCTGAAGCTTTTTTTTCTACTGAATTTTCTGAAATTTTTCTGAAGCTGATGAACAAATGTTATGTAATGTTGCCAATTTATTCCTGAGCCCTCACTGAGTTATAAGGGAATTTTTCCTACAGTTGTTTTTTCCCAGTTGGACTTTGAAATTGCTGCTAAGACAAGGGGGCCTTATTCCAGTTAAAGTTACTTGGCATTTCTCTCCACACAAGCCCCTCCCTACTCACTTGGAAATGACTCTTGGAAAAAACAAAGAGGCTGTTTCTACTTGAAAAGATTCCAGCTCTCCTCTCTCCACTCAGATTTTGCTGGTCATTGCCAAACAATTGCCTGGGGATTTCCATCCCTTTGTCTCAGTTTGGAAGCTCCCATGAAGAGAAGAGCTCTTCTTTCTGGTAGTTGAGTGCCCTGAGGCTGCCACCACCCTCTGTTGCTGTTGCTCTTGTGTGGTGCACTTCTATCCAGACTTCTATCTAGGTAGCTGGCACTTTTCTAGGCTGATCACCGTTTTGTCTTTGCTGCCTATGTGCACAGGAAGTGGAGAGCCAGTTCCTGCTGTCTTCATATACACACTACTGCACAAGTTCTCTCTCACACAATCAATTAAGTGCACTGCCACCAAACCTTCCAGTTTGTAGAGGGTTAGGTTTTTCTGTTCCTTAGGCAAAGGGAAGAACAAACTTATCAGCTGTTAAGTAAACCCCAGGGGGCAGCATCCCAGCCACTTTTCAGACATTCCTCAGCTGTTGGTGGTGAAGGCTGTGCTGGACAACTCTGTGTCAATTTCTCTTATTCCTCTTTCCTGGTATGTTACACACCATGACCATATTTTCCAAAGCAAAGATCAATCCAACATGTGATCCATTACTATAAATGTGTTTATGGGGGTGCGTAGGACAGAAGTTTGAAATTGGGGTTGCCCCCAAAAGATGATACAATGATGATGCAGAACATGAGTTTGCTAAGGTGAACGGTAAAGGAAGTTGGAGTAAAATAGGCTAATGACCATAGGATGGTAGCATCTGAAAAGGGGCTTTTTGACCCCTCTGCCCTTGGAAAGGGCTAGAAGCTTATCATAGTGGACATCTATTGTTTTGTGGTCTGCCCAACATACCCATACCTTCTTCTTCTGATAACAATCTGCGTTTTCTTTGTGAAACACCCACCCCCAACCATTTTTCAGTTAACAGTTCAGGTGGTGTTGACTCCAGCTCCAAGGGGGTCCACATGATCCCGACATAGCCCATCAGATTATTCTGTTCTCTCAGCTATAGTGATTAATTTGGCTTGGATAAATGTCTATGAGTCTCAGTTTTGGGACTTTTTTCTTGAACTATTAAGACACAATAGTTCAACTGGACTTGGAGTTGCAGGAGCCTCAGGCTGGAGCCTTAGACTGAAGCCAATATTGGAGCCATTCTTTGGAGCAAACTTGAAAGATGGGGAGTGAGCTAGCCTCATTAATATTTTTTGAACCCATGGATCAAGATGTGCCAGAATTGAGAAAGATCTGTACCCTTAAGACACTTTTCAGTTGTGTGAAATAACAAAAAGATGGTGTTGTAAGTCTTCACTAATTGCTAAATGTTTTCTGTGAAACTACAGTGTATCTTCAAACTTCTAGCAGTGAATTTCTGATTTCTGTTCCCCTATACTATGATACATGTTTCACTGAAAACTTTTTCCTTCTTTTGTAGAAGATAGATATAAATGTTCTTAATAAACATTCTGAAGTATGTGTGGCTTTAATGAATTCAACTTAATGAGTGCCTGATGGGGTCTAATATTGGTTAAAATGTAGTCACATAAATTATACATTGAGATGTAGTCTGGCTAGGTTTAATGATTGAGACTTTGTACTTATATTTTCTTACATTTCGTAACAGTGTAATGTTATACATCAAACTAAATCTAGACCTCTGACCTGATTTCTCTGAAATCTATCTAATGCTGGGGACATGAGGGTTTTAGCTTAGCCAGGCACACTCGTGTTCAGTTAGCCTTATGACTGATATAACTCAAGCCCAGACTGCAGTTATATCATGGGCCAGAAGTTGCTGCTCCCACATGAGACCTTCATGTCACATCCTATATGCTGTGCTCTCTAGGCCAGTTGGTATGTAAAGAGGCCCTAAAATGGTGACTTATTAATATCAGGTATTTTATGACCATAAATGCTGATTATTGAAGATACACTTGAAGACCTTTCTTTACTGTAATTGATGCTGCTGAAAATTTGATGAGACCATCATCAAATGCAAAGTATTTGCAATTTGTGGTAACCTCATTATTACAAATGTGCGGATGCAATGCCCTGAACCCAAGCAAACACCATTGTTTCCAGGCACTCTTCTCTGGTATCACTATAGAAATAACCATGAAACCATTGAATGGCAGGCAAAGGGACCAGGAGGCCATAGACTGGGTGCAGTCACTTTGGTTAACTTTCCAAGTGTATCTCCATATTGTGTCTTGGGAGGACAACAAGGATAAAAGAAACCCCAGTCTTAGATAAAAAACTTGAGCAACTGGAATTGGTTCCCTGTTTCAATTAATATTTACTGAGTGCCTGCTGTGGGTCAGGCACTGTGCCAGTTTCTGCTTTCATGAGCTCAACCTGCTGGAAGAGAGAGACATGTGACCAAACATTCATGAAGGTTCACAATTCCACTGCAGCAGTTTTCACACCAAGTGTGATAATGAGTTTGGGAAAGTTTTCAATGGCATTGGGGCTCCAATGGTAAGTAGGACAAGTTTAGGTGACAGAAAAGTAGGGCATTCTGGGCAATTGAGGGAAATAAAACAAGTGCAAGGCACAAAAGTATGAGAGGCCATGGTCAGTAAGCTAAGATGTAGGGCAAAGCCAAACTGAGAAGCCATGTAGGCTGTGCTGTGCTCAATGCTGTAGGCCAGGCTGGCAGTGGGGAGAAAGGGCTGAATGTACCTGGTGAAGTGTATGGGTGATGAACTGAGTGCAGACATTGGAAGATGGACACACTGATTAGTAGGAGTCTTTTGCAATAATCCAGGCAAATAACGGCAAGGATTTGCACTTAAGGCAGTATCACTGGCAACAGAAAGGAGAAGACAGAGTTGAGAAAACCTTCTGAAGTAGAATAGTATGTGGTGCCTGATGGGACTTGAGTTGGAGGTGCAGTGCTGTGGGAGGAAAAGGGATCAAGGACTGGGGCAGCAAGCTTGGAAACTGGATGGGTGGTGCTGCTGAAGACTTCTGTGCAGTTTGAATTTTCATAGTGTAACTCAAGTTTTTTTTCCCCACTCTAATAACATACTGCTGTGAAAAACACCAAATAATTTTTAAAAAGAATAAGAGAAATAATTTATTAATCACTGATACTAAGATATCACTTAATATTATCCTTATATCAAGAATATCCATAGTTCAGTAACATACCTCTGCCTACTACTTCCTTAAATCCTGTAAGCTGTGAGGTTTGATAGAAATGAGAGAGGAGTGGGATTCAGCAAAAAACAAAATAAAACAAAAGCAAAACCCTCTGCCTTCTTCATAAGATAGTACAGGTAGAGGGGAAGAAATGTGTCACTGATCCCCAGGTCTTCCCGCAAGGCTACTACAGGGCACAGTTGGGCTGCATCACATTGTTTCGTTGGTGTCTGGCAAGGTTAGACCTCTGGCTAAAAGCTTTCCCACACTGGAGATACTGGTAGGGCTTCTCTCCAGTGAATGTCTGATGATGGCAAAGGAATCTGGTGCTCTTTCCAAAGCCATGCCCATGCTGGCCACATTTGTAGAGCTGGTCTGCATTATGAGTCCTCTTGTGCTGACTCAGAGCAGCCTGCTGCCTAAACCATTTTCCACAAGGCCCACACTAATATGGTTTCTGGGCCTCATCACTCCCTACCTCCTGAGTTGCCAGGTGGGTGGTCTGCTGGTGCCTGGACAACTGCCAGGCCTCCCAGAAACACTCCTAGCACTCATGGTGAGCTAATGGCCATTCCCTTGAGTGTACCCACTGGTGGTTGATCAAGTGGACACACTGACTGAAGCCCTGACCACACTCTGCACACAGATGTGGCTTTTCCACTTACTGGATCTTTTTATGCTGGATCAGGGAGGAGCTCTGGGTGAAGCGCTTCTCACACTCAGAGCAGATATAAAGCTGCTCACCTGTATGTGTGCGCTGGTGCTGGAGAAACTTACCACTGGCTGGGAAATTCTTCTCACACTCAGAACAGGTACCCTTGTAGTCATGGCTGCTTCTTGTTCACCATGAAGGGTGAACTTGGAATCTGGCCTCTGCAGGAGTCCTTGAGGCAAAGGGAGTCCTGGGGAGAGGGGGTGCAGAGGAGAAATGAGGGAGTGTTGATGAATAATAGTACAGGGAGAAAAATGGGTGCATAAGAGGTGAGAGGATGGGGTGAGGAATCTGGAGAAAGATGAGTGTGATCAGAAGCTGAGGACTTAGGAGGTGGGAAGCAGAATCAATCAGAGTAGTGGATGGGCAGAATAAGGGAAAGCATGTTGGAGTGGTGATATGAACAGGAGGAGATGGAAAAGGAAGAAGGATCTGGGGCTTCTACTGGGCTGAAGTGAATGGAGGGCTAGCTTGGCCAGAGCTGTGAAATGGAACTCAGAGCCTGTGCCAAGCCATATGGTGGTTGAGCTTGATTCAGAGGCTGAAACTCTCCCCACACTCCCCACACATAAAAGGCTTCTCCTCTGTTGCCTGCAGGTAAACATGCTGGATGAGGGCAGTCTTCTGACCAAAGCTGTCACCACAATTGGAGCAGCAGAAGGGATGCTCACTCACCTGTGTGAATTCTCGGGTGTTGTATCCGCTTCCACTAATCCCCCAAAGCCTCGTTGTGCTGGGATAGATGTAGGAGTTCAGCCCATTATGTACTCCTTGGTGAGCCCTCAGCAGAGACCTGACTGTAAAGCCCTTGCCACACTCCCCACAGATATATGGCTTCTCCTCAGAGTGGATTTGCTGGTGCTTAATGAGGCTGGAGCTTGCACAGAAGGTTGTGCCACACTGGGGACAATGATAGGGTGTCTAGCCTGAGGGGGATTTCAACCCCAGCCAAATTCACTCTGGATTTGCTGAGACCGAAATGAATAACAATAATGGAATGTTGGGGGTAAAAGGGTTTATACCAAGCTTTATTCTTGTGATGGCAGGTTGAGTACTAGAATCACATCTGCTTCTGGTGATTCGCTACCCCTCTGTTCTCAGCTCTGCCTCCGGGCCTCTCTGCCTCTGCACAACCCCAGGAGAAAGCACTGGGTGGAGCTCCCTGTGCTTTAGCAATAAAGACAGCTGTGGCTCACCGCCAACAGGCATGCAAGCATGCACCTGTGAGCATTGCATGTGCACAATGGGCAAATAGATCCACTTTTCCTATGTAAGGACTGTGGCAAGTATGGACCTTTCTGAGTTATTTGAGGGATGCCCTCTGAGCAAACCTTTCCCACAGGTCCCCACACTTACAGAGCTTATCTCCCTGGTGAACCTCATGGTGCTGAAGTAGATTGGAACTCTGGCTGAAACATTTTCTGTAGTCAGGACAGGAGTAGGGCTTCTCACCAGCATGACTTCAAAGATGAATGGCAGAGGGTAACTATGCCAGAAGCTCTTGCCACAGTCAGTGCAGCTGTAGGATCCCTCACCAAGCACAGATGTCCTGTGGTCAATGAGCTCACAGCCTAGGAATTGTACCCACCTCCCAGTCCTCAGATTTTACTAATTTAAGATTATGGAAAATGTGTTCTGAAGGTATTTCTTGAGACTCTTTGAGTCCAGAAGTAGATGACATTATTCTTGGGACTACCCCTTGATGTTCTCTTAATACTGGCCCTTCCTCTGAACCCCAATACTCAATTGTTGGCCCTCAGCTCACTCTCTAGGCTCTCTCTGCTTATGCTTCACCTCACAGCTCTACTGATACCTGACTCTGACCTCTCACATGAGCTCCAAACCTGTAACTCATGCAGATTTCCCCCTTAATGCCTGCCATAACTTCAAAAATAAATCCCTATGCCAAATAATCACTGACTCCCAATTTCACTCTTCTTTGTCAGTGACAGTAGTTTTCATTCTCTTGGATATTTAAGCTTGAAATGGTAGAACTTCTTTTGGCCCATGTCTCTCTTCTGTTCCCCAGGAATGGGCTACCATTTAAAAGTGATGTCCTCTCATCAGTTACCAGGGAAATGCAATTTAAAACCATGATGAGTACCACTACATTTCCACTTGAATGGCTAAAATTAAACAGACTGACATCAAGTATTGCCAAGGATGCATTGGTGGTGAAATGCAAAATGGTCCAGCCACTTTGGAAAACAGTTTGACAATTTGTCAACAGTAAATTACATGTACACTCACCAAAGGACCCAACAATTCTGTATTTAGGTATTTACCCAAGAAAAATGAAAACATGTCCATGCAAAGAGTTTTTTACAAATCTGCATAGCAACTTTATTCATAATAGGCAGAAGCTGGAAACAATCCAGTGTCCGTCAATGGGTAAAGGGATAAAAAAATATTGTGGGATACCTATATAATGGCATGCTACTCAGCAAGAATAAGGAACAACTATTGTTACATGCAACAAACTGAAGAATCTCAAAATTATGTTAGACCAGAGAAGCCAGACATAAAAGAGTACATATTGTATGACTGAATTTGTATGAAATTCTACAACAGGCAGAACTAATTGACAGGGACAGAAAGCAGATCAGTGGTTGTCTGGGGCTGGGTGAGGTAGGGAGCAGCCAACTGCAAAGGGGCATGAAAGAATTTTGAGTGGTGATGGAAATTCTATATCTTGGTTTTGATAGCGATTATACTAGTGTATACATTTATCAAAAATCTTAAGACTGTACACTTAAAATGGGTAAACTTTATTATCTAACTTCAATAAAACTGCACAAATATGCTAAGCTTTTTCTGAGATGTAGAAGGTGCACAAGAGTATCAATGATGATTAGGCAGTTATTTTTAAAAGATTTTATTAAATTGTAAATGAATAAAAAGAACAGTTTAAACAGCTAGCACTTAGAGAGTACTTACTATGTGCCGGGAACTGTTGGTAATATTGCTAAGAGTTTCCACATATTGATTAAACCTCATAACAACTCTCTAGAATAAGGATTATTACCCCACTTTACAGATGAAGAAACTGAGGCACTAAAAGGTCTTTGCCAAAGTTCATCCCTATGGCAGCCATAGGTCATCAGAAATGGCAGAACCAGCGCACCCAAACAGTCTGGCTTGAGAGAGCTTCCTTCTAATTTCTATGCTACAATACTTCTCATTAGTACAATTTTGAAAAAGAAACCCCTTTTCCTCAATAATTCTACCCCCTCTAAAATTTTTTTTCATGTTTGTATGTTTTTTTTTTTTTGTTTTTTTTTTTTAAACAAATTTTGTTTAACCCAGTATACTAAAGATAGTATTTCAATATGTAATCAACATAAAAGTTACTAATGAGATAGCTGTATTACATTCTGTGTTTTGTAAAAAGTATATATTTATACTGGTGAGGATTTTACACTCATAACGCATGTCTATTTGTAGTAGCCACATTTCAACAGCTCAGTATGACTCGTGGCTACTCTACTGGACGGCATAGATCTTTTCATTTTACTGCAGAGGAGACAGAAGGAAACTAGGTGACTTAGACAATATCATTGAATTAGTTGGTAGTCAGTTCCCAGTATGCAACGTTTTTTTCTACATCATGATTTCTTTTTTTTATTCAACGTCTCTTCAAAATGCAATATAGCAAAATATGCCAGTGAGATTTTTCCACCCCCAAGGTATATTTCTTATGTGGGCACATGATTTTTTTTTCCTAAGAAAACCTATTGTAACAAAATCAAAATTACAAAATGACTATAACTTACAATGTTTACATGCCACTTTACCTATAGATCTTCAATAATGCCTGGAGGCTGGACTTGCTTTACATGGCAAACATGCTGATTTAAAAACTCACAGTTTATGACTTGAACATTAACTGTTTTGATTGTTATGTTTCCTTTTTAAACCTTGTTCATACCCATTAGGCATTTCTATATTGTAATAGTGTGAGTGCAGTTTGGGCTCTTTTTTTCCCCTGTTGCCTAATATTGTGTAAGGCAGAATTAAAAATGATAAAAACAGGTCATTTTATGTAATCTGAGGAATTCTATATTGGAAGCTATTACATTCAAAAGGCTTATTAAAAGTATAATAATGTGCTAAATTTATGTAAGAAGGAACAGGAAAAGTTAAATGCACAGTATTAGGATACCGTGATAGTATTTCTACCATGTAGATACTATAGATGCAAATAACCTCAAGGGTATAGAGAGTTGTGAAATATAGTTAAATAATTATGAAGTGATGAGTTTGGACTTTTTATTACCTTTTGCTTTTTACATAATGTATTTAATCATAAGTTTATATAATTAAATGTTTAATAATGACTGTTTCACAACTGGCTCATAAAATTTCTGGAAATTTAACAATGGGCTCTCATCTGTTTTGTGCTGGCTCCTTATCTGCCCAGTGTCTCTAAATAAATAAGCCTCTTTGTTAACAGCCTGGTGTTTAAAATACAAGAATTCTCATTTTATCCCAGGAGTTGGGGTAGGGAAGTGTGGATGAACTGCTGTCCCACGTCCTAAGCAGCTCTGGCCAGGTGAGGGCCTGACTTCAAGGGAATAATTCACTTACAGAGAATTTCATTGTGAGAGATTTCATTGAAGGCTGTGGGTTTCTCGAGAGCCTTTTTTGCTGTTCTGGCCAGGTCACTGCTGTCTTGGCATAACCTCGGGAGACTCATTTTCCTCTCATATGCAGAGAGACTTAGTGAAAAATGGAATAGGCTACATTACTGGGGTGATAAAACCCTGCCCACTCCCAATCCTTTCCTGCCTCTTCTTTTTTTCCTTTCCTGTTTTTACCCATCAAATTCCTTGATGTCATTCCTGCCATTGTGAGCCGACAGGCCCTCCCTGGCCTGGTGGTTGGGAGCCTGTAAGTCAGGAGGGAGGTGGAGCTGTGGACGTGGGGGGAGTAGCGGTTACACCAACACCTTGGAGTTGTCTGGGCCTGCATGGAGCTCCAGGGATGTTCCCCAGCCCACTCTTCCCAAGAACCAATGAGTAAAATTAGGGGCCTGCCACCTGAGGTTAGGGAGCCAGGCCCTGGAGTGGAGCTTGGGGTGGAAGATGGCTTTCTTTGTCAACTGATTCATTCTCCAGAATTCAACTTGTTCTCCGACTCAGTGGTATTTGAAAGCAACTTTATCCAGGTACCAGAGCAGCTCAGGGCGAGCTCTCCTTCCCTTTCCAAAATGTGTTTCCATTCCCAAATGCTATGGCCTTTGGAAGCCCTAGGAAGGAGAAAGAAGCCACTAAGGCTAGAGAAAACCAGAGGATCTGGATCCCAAATTTACCTCAGTTTGCACCTTCAATAGCTTGGGGTTCCCTACTGGTCACACACCTTCAGGAATTTAGAACTATCCCCTGCAAAAGAAGACATCAGAGCTCACTCTCCAAGCAGGGTCTCTAGTCTCTCGCCCAGGGCCACTAGTCCACACTGGCTGGTTAGAGGGGTGATGTTTGCTGTCTAAATCCCTGCTCTGAACTCCAACCTTCTCTCTCTGCGATAGTTTAGAAACAGCTTGCTTTGAGAGTAAGGCCCCTGGATAATCAGCCTTGTCCAGATTCTACCATCCCCACAGAGTGGCAATGTGACCCATGGAAGTGAGCATCTGTGGCCCGGGAAGCATGGAGCCACTGCAAGTGAGGGGCGGTCATCTTAATATGTATGACATCTTACTTAGGTGCCTCCCTCTCTGGATTTGGCTGGACCCTGTGCACCTGTGCTCCGTTGCAGGTGTGGACAACCAGTTAGTCAGCAAGCTGCATTCAGGAAGATACAAAGAGAGATGAGCTAGTGTCCTGGCTAAGAAGCTAATGAATTTGTAGGCTTAAGGGGCATGTTATAAGTTGGTAACTGTTAAAAAATGCTCTGTGTCTGGTGCTTAGGGCCAGCTGATGGCTACTGGGACTGAGGGAGTTCAGAACTCACTCTCTGGGCTTTGACAGTTGAAGGAGGATTCCCAGATGACAGGGTTGTAAGCCATCCTTTGAGGTACGGCTGAGACTTTGGTAAATGGAAGAGCAGCAGCTGACGACATTCCAAGCAGAGGGAGTTGAGCACCTGGGGGCAGGCAGGAGGCTGTAATGCGTAGGGTAGGGGGTGGGTGGTCTGCAGCCAGGAACCCACTCAGTGGAGGGAAGAGCAGTGACAGGTTACAGGGGACAGGGCTATCTGAGGTGGGAGCTGTGCTTGACGTAAAGGCCTCTGGGCAGAGCAGCAAGCTACTCTCTGATGAAGTCCCCCAGATTCCAGTGAGCTGGCTCATGGCCCTGGGTGCTCCGTGGTCCCTGCACTGGCCCAGGAAGCTGCACAGTTGGACGATCAGCTAGCAAGCAGGTGGGGGGTGCTCCTTCCTAGCACTCAGAGGAAAAAAAAGCAGTTTCGTGGGAGATCCAGGCTCAGGATACCAAATCCTTGTCATTTCTATTTGGTTGTAATGTTTTGGCAGCAGGTTTATTCTCTTAATACGTTCTTTTTGCCCTAATATTAAAACTGTTTAGATTCTCGGGATGGGCACTAATTGACTCGGGCAGCAGGAAGCTCAGCTGTGCTGGGTGGGAGGAGCCTGCCTGCGGAGGCTGGCCCAGGGCGGAGTTTAGAGTTGCTTGAAGTGATCCAGCCCACAGTCGTGCTGCTCCCTGCTCGCTCTCCTCAGCGTCTCCATTACTATGCTCGTCTCCAAGAAACATCACCCACAGCATTTATTGAGCACTTACTTTCATATGTGTCACCCCTGTTTTGTAGTAAATATGAATGTCATTCTGCAACATGGGCTTCAAGAAATGTTTTTTTTTTTTTCCCCCAAATCCACATTCACTTTTCTTGGAACACCATATAGCCAGGCTTGTGGGAACTTAAATTTCAGTTATTCCTGGGGCTTGCCCCTTGGCCCCAGTTCTGCCATGGGCTGTGAAGTGGTCCTGTTGGTCTTCCAAAGACTGGATTACTGGGAGAAGGCCGCCTCTGTTTTTGGGAACGCAGGAATCACTCCTCAGGTATTCTTTGCTCTGGTCTCTGTGGTTCCTTAGAGACCACAATTCTGATGCTTCTCTGCCTACCCTGGACAGTGGGGAGGGGTGTCTTAGCTGAGACACATCCAGTCTCCCTGTCCGCCACGGCCCCTGGTGCTGCAGAGAACAGGTCCTCAGTTGTGTATCCCTTCTAAGTCAGATGATGCAAAGGGCATGAAGAAGCACAGTACAGCATTCCTGTTCCACTGAGCTTAAGTTGGTTTGGGGAGCCCCACAAAAATGGATGCAGGGCAGCATGGCCCAACCCAGGGTGTGAGAAGCACAGGTGATCCATGCTTGTCACCAAGCTCAGGGGCCATTTTCTAAAACCTGTATCCTTTTACCTTTGTCTCTTGCTTCTCTCCGACCCTTGTACCCTGGCTGATTTCTAGATCACTGAGCCCGGGAACTGGATGGATGTCTGTGAAGGCTCTACCACTGTGATCCTCGGGGTGACCTCCTCAGTGCCCTCCTTGCCGCTCCCCAACATCCTCCTGTTGGCCAACGTCACCTGGCCCTGGGGCCAGCTTTCCGCCTGGAGCCCAGCTGGTCGTGCTCCTGTCATCGCCCCCAGCAGGTGAAGAAACGCTTAAGGGAGGGAGGGCCCAGCGGGGAGGTGACTGCCCTGTCTGGCAGCTGGATTTTACATTAGAAGAAAGGACAGTGTTCTTCAGCGTATAACTGTGTAGAATTCATTAACTTAACAAATGTTTATTGAGTGTCTGTATGACTAAGCACCGTGCTCGATGCTGTGGGTAGAGTATCAGGCCCTGTCTCAGCCTGGTTTTTGAGGATCTTGGCTTCCTTTTGTTTACTTTTATTTTGTCCAAAAGGATTTTGGGGGTGTTCCCTAAAACAGGTGAGGGGTATGGAAGTCAAATGCAATTATGAGGTGTTGCAATTAAAAAATAATCCTGGATATATAAGAGAGATCATCCTTTCCCACACATTTCTTCAGGGTATAGGGAGGAGATCTGGAAATGGAGCCCCCCAGGTTCCAGCTAAGGAAATCTTAGCTCCAGTTCCTGCTTAAGGAGATCTATACTTGGGCAAATCACTTAGCTTTTCTTAGCCTTAGTTTCAAAGTCTGTGAAATGGAATTAATAATACTTATTTTCCCTTCATCAAAGCGTTGTTGTGAGGTCTAAATGAGGTGCTGTATAGTCACTTGTTAAGGCAGATTCTTCAATACATAAGGCCCTGGAAATCAGAGAAGAGTCGACCTCAGTACTCATTCCTGCTCCCATACCTCAGGCATGGGTGGGAGGCTCGTGAGACTGAGCCACGCTCCAGGCAGGCACAGCATGGTTGATCAGAATCATGGGCTCCTCTGCTATGGGAGTTTCCTGATTATGTCCAGGATTCTCCCCCTCAAGTATGTGGAGCTACAAATCTGTGACCGGCTCCAATGCATCCTGAGGGTTAGAACAATCACTGAAAAGATCTACTACCTGAGGCTCCATGAAAAACACCCAGAGGCTGTGTTTCAATACGGATCTGCTTGGTGAAAATTCTGCAGAAAGTTCTGTCCATCACCACCAAAGACCCGAGAATTCAGTTCATTCCCTGCCTGGTCCCCAAGATGCCCAGCAGCTCCACCGAAACAACAGTAAGTGGGGCTCTCCTGCCAAGGTCTGTGGAGAGTCGGGGGAATCGGAGACATACCACCTGAGAGGATGGGTGGATATTAAAGTCCAGTGTGGGGGGTGAGCAGACTTTATTTCCAAGGGTCAATGCTATGCTGAGGTCTACAGACAAAAAAAACAAGTTAATTTCATTTTCCTAAAAAGAGCTATAAAGTACTCAAGTTACTTAAAGATTGTTCTCTGTTTTTTTGCTGGTTTTTTTCCCCAGTATTATAAAGGAATAATGCTCATTGAACAAAATCAGAAAATTACAGAAAAATCACATCCAACTCTCTCCAGCCCCAAGCAATCATTGGGAACATTTTGGCATATTTCATTCTAGACTTTCATTTAAAACTGGTTTTTGGTTTATATATCTGAGGACATTAAATACAAATACATTTCAGAATGTTGCTTTTTTTCCATTTAGATTATACCATAAGCATTTTTCCTTCTTTTATAAGCTCTTCATATACATTGTTTTGATAATTTCATGCTATTCAGTTGTAAAAATTAAAATTTACTTCATCATTCCCCTAACATCAGACATTTAGAATTGCTCCCAACTATCATTATTGTACATGATGCTAAAATAAGCATTTGCATGTTTTGTCCACATTTCTGATTGTTTTCTCAGAATAGATTTTTAGAAGTAGAAATCAAACCATTTGAACATTTATAAGGTTCTTGATCCATATTGCCAGATTATTTTCAGAGAGTTCATACCAAATTATACTCTGATAATGTGAGTATCTGTGTCACTATATCCTTATCACAACTGAGAAGTGTGATGTGATATGAGAGGTTATATGATAGGTTCAAAGTGGCAGCTCTTTGATTTTCAGTTTAAATACTGTTCGGTGTTTTGTTTTGTGTTTCGTTTTGCATTTGGCCATTTTTCCCTTGGCAGCTTTGTGTTTTTCTAAATTGATTGTAAAGTTCGTGGATTTTCAAAATTGATTTTCAAAATAAAGCTTTTGATACAGCAAGAATTTTAACCCTTAATCATGAGTTTTTGCAACTCTTTTCCCCCAAGGATTTGCTTTTGTCTTTCCGTTTATTTAAGGCTTTTTTTTTTCTTTTTGACACACAGAAGACTTTCCCAGAACCTGCTTATGGTAGCAGCACAGGAAAGAAAAGCTTGATAAACTGAGTTGCCTAAAACCTTCAGGTTTCAGAACCTTCCTCCTCTCGCTCAAGCTGTTTGCTATAGGTGTGCCAATACCGACTTCAAAGTCAGCCTTGCCAGCTCTGCCGCTCTGGCTCTTAATGTTCAGATCTTGTACTTTGGGCGGAGTAGCCACAGCAGCTACTACCTCTACTGGCCCCTTTTTGGTCAGATGATTCTGGGGCTTAGTGTCCAAGGGACAGGTTCCCAGGCCCAGGCTGGAAGACTTAAGTGAGTTCCTTCAAGGTTCTGGCTCCAAGAGGCCAAGCACCACCAGAGAGCAGCCCCGGTCATCTGACTATAAATCTCTCCATCCAGCCAGAAAGCACCCTCCCGTCATCCACCCAGCCCAGCGAAAGCTTCATGCTGTTGGCAGCCAAGCAGACCAGTGGCAGTTTCTCGCATCTCCCAGGAAGATCCCAGCTGACAGCAGACAGGTGGGTCCTCTGTGCAGGCAACTTCCGCCTCCCTTCCCGCAGCGTGTGGATGGGGTCAGTGACACCCTCTGCCAATCTATCTCAATTCCTTCTTTTTATTCCAGACAGTTACTCATATGCCTTTTCCCCTCAGTTTTATTGTAAGCCTGTCCTTGAAAACAGGCTCTGGCTGATTGACCTGAATATTCCCTAGGCAAGCCCCAGTGTTTTCATTTGGCACATGCTCAGTAAAGGGAACAAGGGATGAGTAAATTAATTCAAAGAAGGTAAGCTAACAACGCAGGCTCATGGAGTTAGATATTGACTGTCTCCAATCCCAGCTTGCAAGGGTCCCGTGGGTAAAACAATCCTGAGTTTGCTTTGCCTCACTTATCTGTTCTGTAAAATGGACAGAATAGACAGTAACATCTCATCCCAAAGGAGAGATGGCTCCAAAACTTTACTAATTTACTAAGTAATTGTATGAGACTCTTTCTGAAACAAGTGGTAGAAAACCAAAGCAAGATTGTGCAACCAGTATGTTGAACAAGTACATCTTGTAGGGTATCATTGAAATGCAAATTTATTTTTATCTTCCCTTAACCCCTTAACATTTTTCAGGAAAAGAAGTTTTCCTCATGTGCCTGGATAAGAGATTGTTCTCTGGGCAGGGTCCATGAGCAGCCTATGGGCTCCTTCTTAGAATATAAAAAGTCGTTTGGTCCCTTTAAATTGCAAAAGCGGCTTCAATCCTGAAATTAAAAGGGCCAGTGCCTGACAAGGATCAAAACTCTGAACTGATCACATCCTCTCCCTTCCCTCAGCCTGGCCCCAAGTTAGCGGGCCCTTCATAGGAGGGACTGGCTTGTCACTCCTCTTCTCCTTCTGTTTCCTAATTTTAAAGCTGACTTATTTTTAAGAGTTTTGTTGGGTTCTTTGAGGTCCTCTTCCTGTCCCCACCCCACCCCACCCGAACTGCAGCTCCGGTGATGCTGTCCCCTCAGTGTCATCTGGCCACCCCCGCTCACCAGCTGTCGGAGTCCCTCACTCAATATGGGAGTCCCGTGGGTGCGGTTTGCTGGGGCCCAGGGCTAGCTCTCTCTCGGGTACAGTGTACCCCTGGTCCTCAGGAAACGTCTTCTCAGACTTTGACCAGCCACTGGACAGGAGGACCATGCTTCCTGGACACTGAAGCAACTCCTCTCCACTGTACCATCAAAGAAACCCACTCTCCCATCTCTCCCACACTCCGTGTTTCCTGGACTGGAGTTGCGCCCCTACTACTGGGTCTCCCAGATGCCAGGGGCCACAGCTCATGGTCTCTGGGTCATCCTAGGAAGGGACCTCTCTGTCAGCTTGAGGGGGAAGAGGCAGCAGCTCTATGCAAAGGACTCTCACACATCCTCGCTCTCAGTGCTTTTATACCAGCTCTGGGGCAGGGCCGCTGCTGGGCAGGCTGGGTCAGCTCTCCCAGGTCATGTGCCTTGATATGTACTTCTCAGTGCTTTTGTTTTTTTTTTTTTCAATTTCAACATAGTTTTCTGGAATTCCTTAAACTCTTCCTCCTTTTATCCTCCAGTTTCTCTTAAGACATTACCTGCTTGTTTGCTTCTCTATTTCTGGTTTAGGCTTCATTTTGAAAATGATTGTTATTTCTTTAAAAATGTCTAGCCCACCTCAGTTTTATTCCCACATTTATAAATCTCTTAAATTCTGCCATATATCATTATTTCGTATATTCTATAATTTTCTTAGTTGGTTTTAGATCATTTTGAAATGCTGTGTTGCAGTTTCCTTGTGCTTGTAGACACATCTTTTTATTGTGCTTTTGTTGTCTGTAAGGATTTATTAGGCTTCCTGTCCTTCTCCTTTCTTAGATAATTTTGCATGGGTTTTGATTGTTATCCTTTTCTGGTGCTTATTTTCACGGGAACCAGTTTACCCAAACCTTCGGGAATGGGCGACTGGTGGAGGAAGTTTTCTGGTTTGGACTCCAGAGCTCCCTCTTGTGTTGTTTTTGTGAAGTGCTTATGGCCTTCTTTTCAAGATTCCTACCCTTTGTTCCTCTCTCTCATCTTTCGTTGGCCTTTCTCTTTGCTTTTACTGGTCCCATCCTATTCAATCTGGATTCCATTTCCAGTGGTTTCACCTTAGTATGAGGCTGTGTCTCCCAAGGGAGAGTGTTCTGATGGTTTTGAGAGTTCATGCTGCTGCAGCCCATTCAGACTTCCCCTTGCACTTGGACAGACCCCTTGCACTTATTTCCAGTTGCTTTCTTCCCAAATTGGTCTGCTGCACTTTCCACTAAGAAAGTCCTAGATTTATGCAAACATCTCAGTTAACTCCCCACTTAACTCAGGCTCAAGGCTTTATCTCCTGTGTCACGAAAACCCAAGGCCTGGATGACTAAGACCAGAGAGTCCCCCAGGCAGCCCCAGCTCACACTTTACGAGTCTTTCATTTTTGGCCCCTGGGACTTTACTTTTTGTGAATTTAACAATGTATTTACAATTACATTGGTTATATTTTATCCAGCATTTCTAGGTATTATGTGGCAAAGAAGTTTTTAGATTATTCAACCTTTTTGCCAGTTAAATAACTAAAATGATTTTCTCTTAAAAAAAACCTCATAGAAGTCAAGTAGTGACTGTGGCATCTTACTACGCTGGTGGATAGTGACTGCAGTGGGGTGTGGGGGAGACTTGATAATATGGGTGAATGTAATAACCACAATGTTTTTCATGTGAAACCTTTGCCTCACTTATCAATGATACCTTAATAATGAAATAAAATAAAATTTAAAAACCTCTTAGCACTTTTCTTCAAATACAGCATGAGTGATTTTTGGTTTTGGTGCTTTTTTATAGCTTTTTTTTTCATTTAAAATAAGCATGTATTTCACTTAGAATCAAAATTTAAAAAAATTTTAGTCACACTATGTTTTTCTGGCACACTAAGTGGTTGTGAGTTTTTAAAACTTGTTACTGTTTTGGAGAGTTCTCTTGAGGTTTTCTTTGCAGATGTGCTGAGGCCTGGCAAGTTCTAGTGAATATCAGGCAGTTCCCGTGGGTTCAGATCTTACCTTTGAGTCATAACACATAAATATAAGGCTTAAGGTTTGGAGGGATATCCGTCCCACTTTTGGAGAGCAGACCTCCACTCCAGCCTCCCTCCTGCTTGGCTTTCTTTGCTCATGTCACTCTTAGACACAGCAGACCACGTATACCTAATGTCACTGCCTGTCATTTCCATATTCACATCTGTGTTCAAGGCACTCATGCTGGAAAAGACATAATTAACAAAGTTTTTCAATTGGATTTTTTTTTTTGAGGGCATCTCATATTTATTGATCAAATGGTTGTAAACCACTATAAAATTCTGTATAGGGGGGGTCAATGCTCAATGCACAATCATTAATCCACCCCAAGCCTAATTTTCGTCAGTCTCCAATCTTCTGAAGCATAACGAACAAGTTCTTACATGGAGAACAAATTCTTACATAGTGAATAAGTTACATGGTGAACATTACAAGGGCAGTCATCACAGAGGCTTTTGGTTTTGATCATGCATTATGAACTATAAACAGTCAGTTCAAATATGAATATTCATTTGATTTTTATACTTGATTTATATGTGGATACCACATTTCTCTCTTTATTATTATTATTTTTAATAAAATGCTGAAGTGGTAGGTAGATACAAGATAAAGATAGAAAACATAGTTTAGTGTTGTAAGAGAGCAAATGTAGATGATCAGGTGTGTGCCTGTAGACTATGTGTTAATCCCAGCTAGACAAGGGCAATAAAACATCCACAGATGCAGAAGATTTCTCTCAGAACAGGGGGGGGGGTCAATTGGATTTTTAACAATGCTTTCTTTCTCTTCTATTGCTTTCAATGACCCCAAAATTCCTGGGTTCCAATAGAAACCCCAACATTGCCGTTGAAACAGACAATTCCAACAGCTGTGACAAGACACCTGCACCAGTGTCATCTCTGGTCCATCTGAATATACCCATGAGAGCTGCCTTGAGCCACAGCATCTGGGAACAAGAGAATCCAGATGAGCACTCCTTGAGGCTCCTATAGCAAGTTCCCTAGGCAAGAACATTTTGGGACCCTGACACCTAGCCAAAACAGGGTGATCTTCCCTGGCTTCGTCCGATGCACTTGCTACAACCTCCTATAATGCTGTTTTCCCACTGCGGGCCAAATGACCGTGGGAGAGGTAAGATGATGTCTGTAACAAGGTGCTTCTGTACTTCCACCAATAAACCTCCAAGTGAGTCCCTAATTGTTGCAGGTCATGCTCTAGGGAAGCTCCAGGCTGCGGAAGGGCTGATTAAGAGCAGGAACTCACTCCTTAGGAAAGTAAGTGGGAAAAACAATCTGTATGCTCCATTGAAACCCCAAAGCATCCAAGCTAAGCCTAAAAAGCCAGTGCAGAGGAGAGGGCCTGGAGGGAAATCCAACTTCCTCCCCCAAGGGGGTAGGGGAAAACAGAGGCAGGGCTGCTACAAGACTGGAGTGAAAGAAATGCTGAGAATGGTTCAGCCATCTGGGAGATACATTGGTGTTGCCTCACTGACCTCAAGCAGGAAACTGAGTCTTTACTGCCCCACTCCTTGTTAGTGTAAAGCTATGAAGGCTCACCTTGGGCCATGCAAACTTGGTTGCTAATGAAGGCATGGCTTCAGGTAAAGAAGATGGTGACCATCCATCACTGGAAGACGTAAGTGATTTGACTCCTTCTACCAAGGACTAATGAAAGCAAACTGGAAGACACACACAATGTCTGTGTACATCAGGGACAGGGCAGGAGCTCTGGCCAGCCTTTGAACAAATGAGGATTATTTACTTGGAAAATACTGCCATACATTCAGTAAGCATTATCAGGCTCCTGCTAGGTGCCAGATGTGACATATCAGAGTGGACAAGACCCGCCTTTAGGAAGTGTATGGGAGAGAATGTCACTCCTTATTTTGGAGACATAGGAAGGCCATTAAGTTGACATGGTGTTTGAGCCACCCAGTTGGCAAGTCAAGGCTGAAGGACCTGCTTTCCCATAGGAAATGTAGTGATGGAGGGAGAAAGGATCTGACTGCCCTCAGTTGGACTGAGGGTAAATCCCAGCTAGTTTGGGTCAGAAAAGACATCTGACCTGAGAGGATGCCTACTGTTTGTGGGTTCTTCCTGCCTCCAATAAAAATAAAAACCAAAACAAATTTCCTTTCAGCATGTTACAATCAGCTATTGTATTAATGTTGAGCATTGTGGTGCTGGTGAGGGATATCTAGAGGCAGAACTTAGATTTCTGAGACTAGTGTTAAAGGTACAGACTTCCCAATGAATGCCTCTTGTCCTAGTATCATTGCTGACATGAGCCCAGTCCACTCTCAAAAATGTCCCTGAGTGAATGGAAAATCACTCTGTTAATATGGTATGTTTAACACCATGCTAAGACTTTACAAAGAACCCTTAATTGGCCCAGCTCATTGGGAAATAGATACTCTTAGGACAGTTTACAGATTATGAACCTGATTCACAGTGAAGTTCAAGAACTTGCATAAGGTCATATAGTTAGTAAGCAGCAGAGCCAGGACCTGACTCAGTCTAACTCCAAAGTCCATACTCTTGATGACTGTCCAGTTTCTTCCCAATCCTTTTCCCTTCAATACTTCTGAAGTGCAGTTTTTCTGAAACATAAATCTGACTATAGCTTCACCCTTGATGAAACCAAACTCTCTGATATGAAATGACCAAGCCTATTTCTCCAGCCTTTGCCATTGGCCACTGCTTCCCTTGAACCTTGTGCTCCCATCATGCCAAATTTCTTGTGGTTTCCTAAGTCCACCATGTGTTTAAGTGCTGCAAAGGTATTACACATCCTCCACTCCATGCAAATGCCTTTCCGATAGTTTCTGCCTATTGCTCTCATGATACTTGTCCTTACTGGTGGAGTTGTTTGCAAGTGTTTGCCTGTGTGTGTCTGCATGATAGCACCTCTCATACCACTGTAGTTGTTTACATACCTGTTTCCTTGGTGGGGAGATAAACTCTTTGAGAATAGATACCATTTTATATTGGAGTCCTTTGGTGGCCTGTGAAAGAAGCTGACTCTAATTTAAAGCAAAAGGAATTTATGGCAAGGATACGGGTTAGCTCACAGAAACACAGGGACAGCCGAAGAGCCAGTCTTGGAATGCACTGACACCAGAACAGCTCTGGAGATTCAGTGAAGGGAGTCTAATTGAACATCTCATCAAATGCTACAGCAGGCTGGTTGGTTTCCCCAAAGGACATGGAGGGTGTCACAAAAGAATAACCAGGGGAACCGATGTCTGGTGGCTAGTAATAGGCATCTACCACATTCCAACTCTACTCTTTGTTGGGAAAGGCACTCTGCCACGGTCCTCATGCATCTGTGCACATCCTTGCAAGGTAAGCCAGATTCCAAGGTTTTGAGCCATTTCTGTAGCTGGTCACATAGGCAGCTAGGTAGGTCAGGGTAACTACTGCATGACTACCTTCTGACTACTTATTCTTGAGGAAGGGCCCTGGTTCAGTTGCTGTTTGCTGAGCCCTTAGCCCCGGGTTCCTTAGTGGCAGTCAAAGCTTGCGTGTTGTGTGGTCTGAGAGGGCTGGGGGCTGGGCAGTGGTACAGCCACGCTGATGCTCCTGCTGTTTGCTGTTAGTAACAAACTGCCTTGCTTTGATCCACAGCATCTCATTATCCACTTCAGGCACCGTCAGAATGGTGAGTGTGTCTACTTGCTTGCTTAGTCATTTCCTTGGGAGTATTTCTTTTTTCTACTTGTCATCTTCTGTGAAATCTGGTTTATTCTTTGACACTGTCCAAGTCCACATACACTCATTTTCTATCATCTTTTTTCACTATTAAAAATAATTTCCAACTAGCATAATGCCTGTATTTTTTTAGGGGGGGATCTCTCTTAATAGAGAAGACACAAAGCCTCCTTAGTTACCACATCCATTTCCAAATCTAGGTTCCCTGGGCCATGTCCATTCCTCCCTAGTTTGTTTCTATCTTGCCTTCATATTCCAAAACTTCTATGGTGAACTGAAATACTGCCAGCACTATGTACAGTAAGGGGAGAAGGAGTGATATAAGTAATGTATGTCACTGCAATGCAGGAAATACAGGTGAAAATTTCAGTTCTTATTTCTGCATCTTGCTGAGAGGTAGTAGCTAGTATTTATAACACACACACTCTTCTACCCATTCCATGTACTTCTTGCTTTGACCAGCACCCCAGCTAGCTGGGGTTCTTCTCTTGGTAGGGAGACCACAGAACTTCATTCCTGAAAAACCTAAGCCCTTGATGCTCTTGCATGTAAGAGTTTTGTTCCCCCTGTCATTTGAGGATGGCTCACAGAATCATGGACAACCCAAGGCAGCAGCAAGAATGCAGGACTTGGAATTAATCTACACTCTGTTTGGGACACTGTCACTGGCATGAATAAGTCCCTACCACATTATCTGTACTGTGTTTTTCCATTTAACATTCGATGTCCCAGGAATCCCAGCATGGCCCTTGTGCCTCTGTGTGCCAGTTTTCTTCCTTCTTCCCTCCAAATCCACTCTCTCCCTTTTCCACCCAAACCATGCCCCAGGGCTCCAGTGGTTCCTACCTATTCTCTGAGCTGTGTATAGGTTACATCAAAGGGCCATCACCTCTGGTTTCCAGGTGGGTTTGGTCCACAGGCAGGAGATCATAGGGAGAGAGAGAATGAGGTCAGGACCTCCCTTGTAGTCACGCAAGGCTGGCTGTGTCCCTACAGAAGAAACTGCTCCTCTCATCGTATCCTTGTCTAGTCAACTCTGCCCTAGTGCCTGTAACCATTCCCTCCCCAGCCCTTCAGGTCCACTGTGTGGACTTAGCTGACCAGATGCTCCTTGCTGAATTTTCTGTCTGGAGCAGGGGTATAATTCCTCCCTGACAGGCATGCAGGGGACAAGATAGGGGTAGGATCCTGACCAGGCAGCTCTGTGTGACGTGACAGTTGCTGGGCTGCCATCCAGCTTATTGCTTCTCTTTTGGTTCCTGCCTATCCCTCAAGCCTGGTTCCCTTGACTTTCTACTTGTGGCCAAGACTGCTCAATATTTTCCCAATAAATAACCTTCAGTTTAGATTGGCCTGTCCATTTCTGTGCTTATAACCATGAAGTCTTAATTGATGGGGTGCCACTCCTTGAAAAGTGAATGCTGTGTGGTTGTACAAGGCAACCATAGGCGTCTTCCTCATTTATGTATCCTCTGGAGCCTGGTTCCTGCTAGACACCCAAATAAAGGTTGTAAAATAAATCCATGTCTGACGTAGTCAGCTCTGACTGCCCCCCATTGTTCCTCCCCCAAGACAAGGGAAGAAACTCTAGCCTTTGCTGAATGGACTTATTGCTGGAACTGACTTCCCAGAAACTGTTTCTTAGATGAAAATAACACCATGTAAGGGAATTAGGAAAGCTTTTAATGGCCAATAAACACATTATTTAAAGGAGAAAAGAAAACACTTATCCAGGGTCAATTAGAGCACACCAACACGTGACATTTGCCAAAGCAACCCCCAAAACAAGTAAGAATGCATTTGAAAGTTTCTGGAATGGAGTTCAGAGAAAAGAGAAAATGTCCTCAAGGAATAATACCCAGACAGACCCACTTAAAATGTATGATGGAATGAGATTAAAGCCTCACGAATGTCCTTGTAAGTCTTCCGAAAAATAGCAAACCAGTCAATTAAGACTGGTGGTGTTGATGACACAGCAAGTGGAGGAAGCAGAGAACCTGGGGACACTGCATAGGCAGGAATGAGCTGTCCGATCTGCACCCTGGGGGTACCCAAGGAAGCACTAATGAACTCTCAGATCCACAGGCCATTGATTTGGAAAACAAAACATAACACAGGAGTCTTATTTTCAGCAAGAATGCTGTTAGGAAAGTTCAGCTAGAATCTCCCCTACACCTGATGCTTCCTCTTAGTAATTTTCCACCCACTGATCCTCACCCTGCTCCTCCGCTATAAATTCCCATTTGCTAACACTGTATTCGGAGTTAAGTACAATCTCCCCCACTGCAAATTGCATCACAGTGGTCCCTGTACCAAT